TATTTCCTAACAAAGATTTCCCAGCTAAAAGTTCTAAATTGGCACTTTTGAACTTGGTTTGAGTTAAAATTTAGAATTTGTGGTCTGCTGCCAGAAACAGTTTGACTCAATCTCTTTTTCCATAGATATTTTTCACTTGTGGAGATTCGATGAACTTAAAAAGAGGTGTTATTGTTCAAAACTCTGCAACTCTTTCAAGTTCTGATGATATCATCTTCTTTAACTTCGCTACCAGTGTATATAAAACATTTCTCTTAATTTGTTTACATTTTCTCTTGAAAAAAAATTCATCCTCAAGTAAACTCTGGGATTAACACAATCAGATTTTCATGAAAAGGATGAAAACATCTCATTCACAATTAGTAGCACTAATCAACAATAAACTTAGAACATGTTTATACCAAAAGCAATAAATATTTTAGCTAAATTGGACATTTTTCAAACAGAACTCTTAATCATCAGTTAAGACCTTCTCTACTACACAGACTGTGCCATCATTCACAGTTGTAATTTATTGATATTATACAGCCTCTACAACTGAACATTTTTAGCCCTACAATCAGTATGAAGAGTGTTCAATCAGTTGCCTAGGTGCACTCCATTCTAACATCTTTGTTAAAGCTTCTTTCCAATGAAGGTGAAGTTGAACCAAGCAGCATTCATTCAGTTTCTTGGACATGCGAGTTACTGATGCAACTAACAGCTTCTTACAGTCCTTCAGCTTCATACAGTCTTACAGTCCTTCAGCTTCATACAGTCCTTCGGTTGACACTCAAATATTGTAACACGAAGAACCCACCTGACACTCCAAGTATACCTAAGTAATCACTCAATATTGAACCCGGATATCAATGCCCTCCTAACCTACAAGTTAACTTTAGTGCTGAGGGCAGGACTGGCCGCTGAAATCATTTGAGATTGAACCAAGGCACTGCCTTTCCAGTCCAATTGTTTTCGAAAGTTGTCAACAATATTGAGCCCGCGCAACCGTAGTTTGGTGACAGGGTGGTTACAAAACGCTGAACATCGACCAAGCTGGTCAGCGCATTAGATTCCATCCACCAAAACCACCTCAGTCGAGAGGGACTAAGATGGAATAGTTCATAGCTTGCAAAACATAACCGAAGATTCTCGGAAATCCGCGTGTGACGTAGCCAAACATCCGAAGCTGTAAATCCCATGATTCTTGAGGAACAAACAGAAACAGCATGGCGGGAATTTTAAAACGCGAACCTTTGCTTGATGGTGGAGATGCGGATAATTTAGGATACGCTAATTCTGTTGATGAGGCGTATAAACTTATTGCGGAGTTTGAAACAGGATCAACGACAAAGTTTTCTTGCTTAAAATCTGACAAAGGTTTCGGAAACACTGGTATGTGTTTGACGAGCGCTTAGGCTCGAAACTCAGATTCACAGAGAATCGATGCGTCCTCTTTGATTCTTTAACTTATGTTTACTTAGTTCTGCTACCACAGCATTGAGTACTTTTTACTGGTGTGCCTTTCCTAATTTTGGGAAGGAAAGTGTTCAATTGCCAGTACGGCATAGATGGAACAGCTGGAGAGAAAAGGAAACGAAAAGATGCAGAAGACATACTGTACATAATATTTTCTTTTTATCCGCGACCTTTGTGTTACTACTGTCACCTATGGCTAGCTAATCCGAAAGGTCAAATACACACATGAATGGATCATATGACATTGATTTCAGAATACTTTTATGACAAACGTGATAACAATTCAATCTTGGCTAAATTGAAGATGGTTTAGAAGTTAACAATTATAAGAACTTTTCACTAACATATGCTTCTGACAAAAGAGAAAATATACGCAATTCTGCATTTTTTTATTTCTATCAAGCAATCATATGTGGGCTCCTTATCACGCTATGACACTTCCGTTTCGTCACATTCCAAAGAATAACTTGAGAAATACACTATCACTCATCTTATGCTGTTATATTTACCTATTACAGAAGGCTGGAAATAAAGATTTTGTTTTCAAGAAAATAAGATTTCTTGTTCAAGACACAAGGAAGTTTGACTGCAAAGCACAGATAAACATGTGAGAAATTTTATTTTTTTCAGAGAACAAGGTAGTTCTACTCGTATATAAACAGAATGAAACCGGTTTAATGAATCAGATATGTGGTATGATTCCTTTTTCTTCCATCCCCACTTAAAACAAGCAAACACACCTATGGAGGTTTCAGTATGGTCTGCAAATGAAAAGGAGGAAGGTGATCACTGCAAAATTAAGCATTAGGGTTCGTATTTATAACGTATTGATTATTGTATACTGATATCAAGAAATTAAGGTTTCAAGTAGCAGCCAGCTGAGTTTTGGTTCAAGTTTTATCAAGTCCATTACTTTGTTAAATTTAGAGTTACCTTGTCTTGAGAGAGGGAAATTAAGGAGCTGTAATATACTTATCATCAATTAGGGACCACAAAGAAAAATTTGTTTATAGAGACTTTTAGAGGAGAGGGGTAAGACTTGTGACAAGCTTGTAGACATATAGATGAACTTTACTGCTTAATGGGTTACAATATAAAGTGCTCAGTATTTGTATCAGCTATGGCTCAAATTAAACTTTGCTTTAGCTTCAAGTTTAATCCTTTGTGGTTTCCTTTCTCTGTGTTTATCAAGTTATTTTACACAAAAGAACACAAAAATGATAAGGAATGTTTTTGAATATTAAGAGGCTGGAATAAGCAAGAAACCAAAACTGTATTTTAAACAGTAAAAAGTTAATTTGATCTTCCAATGTTATTTAATTTTAATCATTAATAGAATTTGCTATTCAAATGTATCCCCTCCATTGTTTTAGACATTGTGTGCAAAAAAAACAAACAAACAAACATTTAGTAACAACTATTCTCTGCTGTGGTCAATTATCACAAAATACATGGTATACAATGGTTTGATTCACCAACATGGCGAAGGCCTTTCCTGTTTATCCATAAAAGGGGAAATAATTTGTAAAATGTAAGACATTCTGCATCTTGAGTGTATACTTTCTCATCCATGTGAAACTTAAGGTTACTTGAAATAAATGTGAAAGATTTATAAGATTTTCAGACCCCTGATAACAATTACTGATGTGCTGATTTGTAGTACTTAAAGGTTATGAATTTGGTGGAAGTAGTGGAAGAAATTTCTGGATCTAGAATTTTGTTGCAAATATCTGTTTAAGTTGGTTAAAAACTCTCTCTTATCCTGTTTCAAGAGTACATGATCACCACACCAGAACCTTTTGTATTCTATATTGTACACCATGTTATGATTATGGTTTCAATAATAGAAGGTGCTGACTTAAGAACTCTGCAAAATATCTCTACATACAAAGAAATAGATTGTGGTTATGTAATTCAAATGGCAGGTCACATCAGTATTCTGTAAAGGAAGTAGCAGAAATTGCCATGGTGGTTCTGGTGGTTGGAGAGAAACATCCAGCAAAACCACTTTATATTATGTGTTATGAGTTATGATTTCATTATGAACGTTTGGTCGGTCAGCAAATTGTGCACTATAAAAAATAATTAGCCAGAACTCTAACTGCTACTGCTTTGTGGAATATAAATCGGAAAAATTTCCGCACAGCCCCATACTTCATCATGCATGCACATCTTATTAATTATGCATTCTACTCTTTGTCTTTGAATACAATAGACAATTCCCTTAGTAATTGAATATATACATCCCTAATTATTACTTACCGCACTAATAAAAGAGGATTTTTTTCACAGCGTTTCTTTCCGCGCTGTTTTTCCCTCTCTCTCTCTCTCTCTCTCTCCATTTTCCCCTCTTTCTCTTCCCCATTTCTCTGGCGGGCATCCTTCCTTCAAGGCCCCTCTCAGTCTATTTTTACTTTTTTTTTTACGTTACCTGCAGGGTTCGAACTCTCAATTCTCTATCGTCTTCGTCAGACTAGCAGTCTATCTTCTATACCATTGTTCTACATGTGCTTCTTGCCGATAGAGGGTAACTTTCAAAATTATATTTCTAATACCTTATTCAAATTCCAAAAATTAACACTGAAATCATTTCCTCACCTTTAAAACATGTTGGATTTTGCACGAAGAAATGAGATGTGTCACCGCGGTCGCTACGTCGAAGGAAAGTGGGTCTTTGATGGCATTTGCCGTGAAACCAAGGCCTGCATCCTTGTACCGGTAGAGCGCAGGGATAAAGATACGCTCATACCCATTATACGCGCTCAAATATTGCCGGGAATATCCGTGATGAGCGACATGTGTTAAGCTTATGATTGCCTACAGGACGAGGGCTACAATTATCTCACAGTGAACCACAGCCTAAACTTCAGAGACCCAGACAAAGGCGCTCATACTCAGCGCATTGAAAATACACGGTGGGGAATCAAACGAAGTATACCTCTTACATCTATTGTTTGCGCTATTGTTTTCTTCTAACAAAGGACTGTATGCATAATGAAGTATGGGGCTGTGCGGAAACTTTGCCTATAAATCTTTTACCTCCCTGAAGATCTAACAATGGCTAAAGATAAAATTAAAAAACTATATTGATGGTTTTGGTCAGTGTTTTGGTGGTGTTCACTCCTGACATCCACCAAAACTACCTAACACCTGGGCACCTTTTAAATATGTGAAATATCTGCATAAAATTGCATAAAATCTTTTATAATATTACAATCGAACAATAAATTAATACTTACCATTTCTTGGGTAAAAAGTTTTGACGCAATTTCCCAAACAAATAATACACTCAGGTCATCGAGATAAATCAGCATGTTATCGTAGCTTCGTAATTTTCATGTCGTATAACATGTCATGAGTTGTTCATCGTTCCATCTCAGTCCCTCTCGACCGAGGTGGTTTTGGAACTGACCGTAGCTCGCGAAGCTTGGTCGAGGTGCAGCGCTTGCTAACCACCCTATCTGCGAACTGTGGTTGCGCGGGCTCGACGTTTTTGACAAGACACTGACTTGTTTCAATCTCAAATAATTTCAGCGGCCAGTCCTGCCCTCAGCACTTAAGTTAAGTTGTACGTTAGGAGGGCATTGTTATCTGGGTTCAATATTGAGTGATTACTTAGGTATACTTGGAGTGTCAGGTGGGTTCTTCTTGTTACAATATTTGTGTGTCATCCGAAGGAAGACTGATGGAAGCTGTTAGTTGCATCAGTAACTCATATGTCCAAGAAACTGATTGCATGCTGCTTGATTCAATTTCACCTTCATTGGAAAGATACTTCAACAAAGATTTTAGAAGGGAGTGTACTTAAACAACTGATTGAAGACTCCTCTTACTGATTGTAGGACTGAATCACAAATCATCATTCCATAAACTTTATTTATGTGTCTTGAATATCTAGCCGATGGGGTTAAAAACTCCTCTACTGATAGGGGACACCTAATATTGTTAATAACCTACAAACTATTTTCTGATGAACTATTAAAAAAAAGCCTAACAACATAATTAGCAATATAATATGGTTAAAAACCTATGAACTATCGACTAATGGGATAAATTATTAAATAGAGAAAAGATTAAGAATTACAAAGTATGCAATTGGAACAATTGAAAATTTTTGAATTGCAGAGGCTGTTTAATATCAATAAATTACTACTGTGAATGATGGCACAGTCTGTGTAGTAGAGAAGGTTTTAATTGATGATCAAGAATTCTGTTTGAGAAATGTCCAACTTAGCTAAAATATATATTGCTTTTAGTATGAACATGTTCTGAGTTAATTGTTGATTAGTGCTACAAATTGTGAGTGAGATGTTGTCATCCATTCATGAAAATCTGATTGTATTAATCCCTGAGTTTACTTGAGGATGAAGTGTTCTTTTCAAGAGAAAATGGAAAAAATTAAGAGATGTTTCTTATATACACTGGTAATGAGGTTAAAGAAGTTGACATCATCAGAGCTTGAAAGAGTTGCAGAGTTTTGAATAATAACACTCCCTATTTAAATTCATTGAATCTCCACAAGTGAAGACTATCTATGAAAAAAAGAGAGTGAGGCAAACTATATTTCTGGTAGCAGGCCACAAATTCTAAATTTTCAGCCAAACCAAAGCTCAAAAGTGTCAATTTAGAACTATTATCTGAGAAATCTTTGCTAGGAAATACATAGGAGTCAACAAAGAACAGTCATAGTTGTTACTGCCAAAATGCGAGTCATGCAAATATTTTTATTGGGGAATGCACTTATTGCAGTTATTGAATTTAATTCAGTTTAACTGATTGTGAGATTGACCAGGGAAGCCTGTTTGTATATAAGCTCACTTAGGCAGTGACATGTGAATATTGGCAAAATAAAAGTTAATTTTTACCATGTATGAAAATTGCAAACATTAACATTCAATTTTCTGCAAAGTCATTTAACTATTGTAGTGAAGGTTCAGTAGCACCTTAATCTTGCAATAATCTAACTCTGTGACCACCAATTTGACACCTTATTTTGGGATACTTTCTAATTCTCTGCTACAAGCATACACATCAATATCAGACTAATCTAAATTCCAGTAAATTATGGTTTTATGAGTCGCCTTGTGAATGGTCATTTCCATCTTGTGAATAGTTTCAGCCTCTATTAAATATTCCTTTGAAACAGTTCCACCCAGACCTAAAGCAGTCGCCAATCTGTTCAAGGAAACCTCGTTCACGTGGAGGATCATTCATGACTGTGATTGCATCTCTTCTGCCATTTGAGATAAAGGTATCAATATCAGACAAATCCAAATAATCATAGATATTCTCTGCAATCATTTCAAACACTTTTTCAACATTTTTCCACTTTTTGCACTAGTTTCAATGAAGGGAATTCCATAATTTTGAGCAAAATGTTCACCCTCCTTAGAAACAACAAGTTCACTCTGCTCGCTTTCCATCAAATCTGCCTTATTGCCCACTAAAAGCAAACTCGGAATGTCCGGTCTTTCCTGATTGATAAAATGCAACATTTCAGGAACACCTTCCCAGAGAGAAGGAGGGTTGTTCACGTCATATACGAGGAGGATTCCCTGAGACCGCCGAATTAGTGTTGGAATGAGGGAATCTTGAAATCTTTCCTCTCCAGAAGTATCTTGAACTCTCATTTTAAAGTCTCTACTCTGGATTTTGATGGGAACATGTTTATAATGATGACCAATTGAGGCAACTACCGCACCAGGGAACACGTGGTGAGCAAATTTTGAAATAAGACATGTCTTTCCCACATGTGCTATCCCGAGAACTGTGACTTCAATAACTGGGATTTCTCCTACAGCTCTGTTTGCAATAATTTTCTTCTGCTCGATTTTTGAACATTCTTGTCGAAGCATTTCAGTGAGCTTCTCAGCACTAGGTCTTTTGTCACTGGAATCCTCTATACAGAGAAACACAATTTCCTTCAGCTTGTGCTCACCCATCATCTTGATGTCACCTTTACGACGATCCTTTTCTAGGACCTGTACACCATCTTTAAACACAGAAGAGAATGTATAATTTGCTTAAGTTTTGAGCTAAAGAAGATCGAATTGTAAATCAATGACAATGTATTGGACAAGAGAAGCATAAGGTACCAGTGACACCACTACTGAAGTTTTGTATAGTTGGGTAAGGGAAAAATTTGAAGCTCAATAATTCACTGATGCCGTACTTCCTTGAATGAGTGCCAAGACACTCATTTAAAATTTGGCTAAAGGAAGGGGGGATTGGGGGGGTTGGGGGGGTGCTTATTCAAATGAAGGTGCTTAATCTGGTGGGTGCTTATTAAGTTTTACTTTCAAAGAACTGTAACTTTATTGGCTAAATTGTTAAACAAAAACTACAGCATTATCTGCGTAAAGTCAATATTTCTTTTTGTTCAAAAATTTGGGAAACATTCATTTCCTTACAAAACATGTATTTAAAATTCTGCTATAGGAAGGGGGGGTTGGGGGGTGCTCATTCAAAAGAGGGTGCTTAATCTAGTAGGCACTTATTATGTTTTACTTTGAAAGAATTGTAACTTGATGGTTAAATCATTAGACAAAAACTACAGCATTATCCAGTTAAAGTCAATACTTCAATATTTCTTTTTTGTTTAAACACTTGGGAAACATTCATTTCCTTAAAAAGACAACAGGGATTAAGCTAAGAAGTATGATGTTAATGCAGTTGGAACTGTAAATGTGGTACATGTGTATGGCACCGACGAATTGTTTGGCACACTCCGATTGAGCTATCAATCCTTATAGAAACTGTTTTTATCTACATGCCAACCAATTTGAGAAAATGAAGGAGGAGCTAGAGGGAGACACTTTTTCGAGGAGGGGGGGGGAGGGTGCTTATTTGACATTAATTTCTAGACCCAGGCCGTAGGGTGCTTATTCGGGGGAGGGTGCTTATTCGAGGGAGGGTGCTTATTCGAGGAAATACGGAATTAGTAATGCAGATGATAAACATGTATTTATTTGTCTTGCTCCTGCCGTGACAGCACCAATAACTAAAGATAGATAGGAGCCTGAGAACAAGATATACGCTGATATTATTTTGAACATGACAGCTGAGCCCAAAAAACTTTTCAAAGTCTATTACAAGAAAAGTTCTTCTTAAAGAGAGAGTGATCACTAAATATTTAAAAATCAATTCAGGGTGCATTCTCAAAATTCAACTTCGATGATACTTCTACATGCACACTTGGGTAAACTGTAAATTGCATTCACACATTCTTTTCTACAGCTCATAAAATTTGACACGTACCGCTCGTAAAAGGACCATCACCTGGCTGAGGATTAGGTAGCTTTCCATTTATAACTTCCATCAAAGTGATTCCGAGTGAAAATATGTCAATCTTGGTGTCATATTCTACACGCGATGGGCCCTTCCTTGACTTGGGAAACCTTGGATCATAGTCTGGGTAAAATGTTTCTGGTGCAGCATAAACTGGCGTTCCGGGTACAGGAGAACAATATTTTTTTTCGTCTTTTGGAAGCACTATGGCAAGACCGACGTCCGCAATCTTTGCCTGCCTTTTCTTGGTAAGAAGTATGTTTTTGCTGGCCACGTCTCGATGAACTATCGGTGGATTTTGCTTATGAAGATACGCAAGACCTTCCGCTACGTCTAACATAATCGAGACAGTTTCTGAAAATGGAATCTTCCCGGGATGACAATCACGAATATACTTTCTTAAGTCACAATCCAAGAGTTCAGTTATCAGCATTGGCGGTGAAGCATGTGAAATGATAAAATCCAATAACTTAACCACGTTCATATGCTGGAGTTTTTGAAGAATTTTGCATTCCGCTTTGAACTTCTTCAAACATTCGTTGTTGCTGTGAGGTTCTCTGAAGTAGCGTTCATGAAGGATTTTCACTGCTACTGGTTTACCATCCAATTCCGCTCTGTAAACGTTCCCAAAACTCCCGCTTCCGATAAGTTCCTTCCGCTCAAGGTTTGGCAACATTCTTAACAGGGTCGAGCTTTGTTCATGCCATCACCAGCAGCTTGTATTAAGTCAGGCATTAAAGGGTAACTGACGGCTAACAGGTCACTTTTTCGGAAAACCGTCTAAATGCTTCGGTTAACACATTGAATCAGATACAATGTGCTTCGAATGCCTCTTCGTGCCTTTTTTCGCCGGGAAAACTATCCTTTATGCAGCTTCGCCATAAACGCTTCGATTTTGATCATGTGACCTTCACGTCATACGTGTGTACATTGAGCAAGGGTAGTACTTGGTGTAAGACTGCCCAAGATGTCCCGGGCCACCGCCCATACTATTAGTACTGTAGTAAGACTTATGGTACCCGCAGGAGCTGTGTAGTACCTGTGGTAGCTGTAGTACCTGTAGTAGCTGTAGTAGCCCTGTAGTACCCGTAGTAGCTGTACTAGTAGATGTAGTACCTGTAGTGGCTGTAGTAGCTGTAGTAACCCTGTAGTACCTGTAGTACCTGTAGAACCTGCAGTAGCTGTAGTAGCTGTAGTAGCTGTAGTACCTGTAGTAGCTGTAGTAGTAGTTGTAGTACCTGTAGTAGCTGTAGTAGCTGTAGTAGCCCTGTAGTACCTGTAGTACCTGTAATACCTGTAGTAGCTGTAGTAGCTGTAGTACGTGTAGTAGCTGTGGTAGGTGTAGTACCTGTACTAGGTGTAGTACCTGTAGTAGCTGTAGTACCCATAGTACCTATAGTACCTGTAGTAACTGTAGTAGCTGTAGTAGCTGTAGTACATGTAGTACGTGTAGTAGCCGTAGTAGCTGTAGTACGTGTAGTAGCTGTAGTACGTGTAGTAGCTGTAGTACGTGTAGTAGCTGTAGTACGTGTAGTACGTGTAGTAGCCGTAGTAGCTGTAGTACGTGTAGTACGTGTAGTAGCCGTAGTTGCTGTAGTACGTGTAGTAGCTTTGGTAGGTGTAGTACCTGTAGTAGGTGTAGTACCTGTAGTAGCCGTAGTACCTGTAGTACCTGTAGTAGCTGTAGTACCTATAGTACCCATAGTAGCTGTAGTAGCTGTAGTAGCTGTAGTAGCTGTAGTGGCTGTAGTACGTGTAGTAGCCGTAGTACCTGTAGTAGCTGTAGTACCTGTAGTAGCTGTAGTACCTATGGTACCTATCGTACCTGTTGTAGCTGTAGTAGCTGTAGTAGCTGTAGTACGTGTAGTAGCCGTAGTACCTGTAGTAGCTGTAGTACGTATGGTACCTATAGTACCTGTAGTACCTGTAGTAGCTGTAGTAGCTAGCTGTAGTAGCTGTAGTAGCTGTAGTACCTGTAGTAGCTTTTGCAGCCGTAGTACCTGTAGTACCTGTAGTAGCCGTAGTAGCTGTAGTACCTGTAGTACCTGTAGTAGCTAGAGTAGTTGTAGTACCTGTAGTAGCTGTAGTAGTTGTAGTACCCGTAGTAGCTGTAGTAGTTGTAGTACCTGTAGTAGCTGTAGTAGTTGTAGTACCTGTAGTACCTGTAGTAGCTGCAGTACTTGTAGTAGCTGTAGTAGGGGCGTCCAAAGGTGTAAGGAATTGTAAAAATTCCTTTCTACCTTCCAGCAAATTTTCCAAGCATTTAGATCGACTAGTCTCACTTTAGTCAATCGACCAAACTTGGATAATTATTAGGCGTAAGGCAGTGAAATCGAGTCCATACTCAAAGGGATTGATATAAACTAATGGGCGAGAGAATATATAGAATATAAACGTAAGTATGTGAGTCCTGAATGGAACCTTCTACAAAGTACAAAAGACGATTTGCACAAGCTTATGAAAGGAACGTCAAGGTTCACACACATTTGATGAAGTTAGTGATATATAGGAATATTTTCTAGCTTTTATATTTTTTTACGCGTCCTATCTTGTTCTTACGACTGTGGTATCCCATGCTCAATTGCACAAAATTGACCCGGCGAGGCTACCAGGGGCACCCAAAGACAATTTTCTGCTAAGTATCTGTTCGGAGAAGCAAATATTGCCAAGAATTTTCTTTTGCTTGAAGAAGACTAAAAATTCCTAAATGGACCTTTCATTCATTTACAATTTTCGATGCTTTATACCTAATAAATTCCCTACCAATTCTGATTTTTAATGTTTCAAAATCAGTTCCCAGGTTACAATATTTTTGTTAAAAAATGGTCACCTAAAGTTTTTTTTGGATTCTAAAATGTGATGGGGAGAGGTAACCAGAAAAATACTCACTTGCGTAAATCGTTAAATTGCAACTAAAATTTTCGCAAAAGTAACACTGAAACCTTTGTAATTGTGAAAACTGACTTAAGTTCCTCTAGGATGACCGGTCAGACCGGAAGGGCTTTCCATAAGTTGCTCGAGATTTTCCAAAAAGTTTCACATTATTTCTCAAACAACTGCTCAAAAGTTGCCAAAAACAATCAAAAGTTGCTTATTGCAACAAAACTTACTCAAACGGTTGTTCAAAAACAAAATCTTTGTTTGGTCTGAAGTTATGAAAATATGCAATTTGTACAAACAAAAGTAAGATTTCTAGAATTTTCGTGCAATTTTTTCAGCGCAACCAGCTTTGCTTAATAACTTTTTCCGGAGTTAAAATCACGAAGGAAATGTAATGAGCCAAAAACATTCCTTAATGACCTTCTTCACCCGAAACACTCGAGTCAGTCGAGTGAGAATCTGCGTCAATCATTTACAATGTTCTGTAAAAACCGCTGACTTATCTTGCGCCCTTCATGTGGCTCAGGGGAGGAGTATTTGTCTCCTTTTTTTACTGGTAATTCGCAAATTGTCTACAAAACATTGTGAAATATGGAACAAAGGCTAATTTAAACACTAAGAGCTGCTCCGATATCACAGAATTAGATGATAAAGTTCTAGAGAAATCTTAATCCAAAAGCCAATAGTTGCAATAAAGGAAAGAAGTTGTTCCAAATACGAGAAGTTGCCAAAAAGTTGCCTGCTTGTGGAAATCTCTAATGACCTAAGCGATAACAATTTTGTAGTGCCGCTTAGAATGCATTTCTAGGGTGCAGAAAAGAAAACTCTGGACTGCGTAAAAAGTGTTTCCAACATACTTTAAAGGAGACAGTCGTTGGGTGCCCCTGAGGCTTTAACCCTTTACTATGTGACATCACGGCACTGTCAAGCGAGTCCGGAAACGTAGTTGGAAAACGATATATTCACCTTCCCCACCCTCTTCTCGCGACTTTAAGACGACCGAGTGTGACTGACTAGAAAAAGCCAACAGAGAGACTTGTATTCAAATGTAAAAAACTTTTATTGCCACATTAATCGATAACAAGAGCTAATGATAACTAATGATCAGATACTTTTCTTAAAAATTGAAATTATTCTTATTGAAGTCTCTACCTAACCAATGGGAAACTGATAAGTTTCTCGAGCTAACCGCTGCTCTATTTCGCAGAATCTTTTTTTTTTCTTGTCTTTGCCATGCTATTACTCAAAACAATTCTTTCAACAATCTGTCATTTTAAGGAACATCAAGAATGTAAATCAAGACGAACATTCTAGAAATTAAAGAAATGTTTGCCAATAAAACATAACAAAGTTATCTATACAAACAATAAAAGAACTATGTAATAAGCCTAAAAACGTTCATGACGATAGAATAATACCTTTTCAATGAATTTATCTTTTTTTCTGTTCGCAGAATTGAATCTTGAAACAAATTTTGGCAAGGGTAAATTGAACAAAATTCTGTGTCCATCTACCCAACTCAACTACTCTTATATATAAATATACAGACTGAAAACTTAAAAATTTCCATTAACAGTGGTTTTTTATGAGGCTACTTGAGCCTGTCACGATATAATCTGTTGATTTTAAAATACTGAAGAGCTCTGGGAAGGTTTAGAACTTGAGCTCCGAAGTTTCATTTTCCCATCAGTTCTTTATTCATTTATTTATGTTTACAATAGTTCTAGGCGCATGAACGATTTTCAACGAGTTCTCTGCACGGCTAGCTAGGCAACTATCCGCTCAAAGACTAAATATTAGGCTCCATTCACACCAAAGCTTGAAGAGTCCTTAAACATGTTTAAAACGGTTTGTGACTGATTAGTGCACTTTTATCATTTTCAAAATTTTGCGCCGATTACGCAACGTCTTGAATTCAATTCAATTAAATCCGTGTAGAACCCTGTGTTCCTTTTTAACCTAAGGATTTTACTTATTAAACATGTCTATTCGGTGTGAATGGTTCATTTGTTACTTATATGAGTTAGTCTCTTCCTTTTCTTTTTTTGGGTAATTGGGAAGAAAAATGGCTTAGGTCGTCACTCAGCTTCTCTACTTCTGTTTTCCCTGCAAGAAAGAAGGAAGACAAATTGTTTTCATGGAAGGTTGCACAATTTAAATTAATCCGATGTTTGAAAAGTATTAGAGCAGTATTAAGTCAAGGTTGCTTTACGGGGAGATCCAATGTCATAGGAATGGACCTCTGTTCAGTTTATTTATAGTACAATAGCTGAGCATTAATATATTAACTTGCCTCTCTTCCTAGGTTCCAGCCGTCGTGTAGCCCCTGGTTCCTCTCCAACCCCATCATCAATGCCTCTTCCATTCTCCTTGTCCCCGCATTCGTGTCTTTCTTCGCCATTTCCTTTTGCACTGTTCTCGTCGCTGCCTTCTTCAGGTACATCTGCATCAGTTTCTCCTTTGATCTCTTTGTTATTAGCACTTTCGCTCTCTTCGCTAGTTAGCAAAGCAGAAGCAACATCCTTTGGTACAACCCTCCATTCAGCAAGAACGTCAGCACCAATATAGGACACAAATTCCTCAGCCTAATCGACAAACATTTCCCTAAGGATCACAGCCTCCGCAAAATATTTAACCGCAACACCATCAAAATCAGTTACAGCTGTATAAACAACACCAAACAGGTCATCGACAACCACAACAAGCGCATCTTACACTCGTCTCACTCATCTTACACGAAAGACAACAAAGACGGCACGGGAACCAACAAAACATGCAACTGCCGACAAAAGAACAATTGCCCGCTCAATGGTAACTGCCTTCAATCCTCAGTCGTTTATCAAGCCACCGTCACACGGAACGACAACACCTCTGAAACATACATTGGACTCACAGAAACCGACTTCAAAACAAGACACAGAAATCACACCGCATCATTCCGCCACGCCAAGTACAAAAACTCTACCGAACTTAGCAAACACATCTGGACACTCAAGAACGACAACATTGACTATTCTATTTCATGGCGCGTCTTATCATCTAACTCTCCCTACAACAGCTCCAGTAAAAGATGGAACAGTGGAACAGTGCTCAATACGTTGAAGCAGAGCAGAATAATATAATAATAGAATAAGGCTTGTCGGGAAATGTAGTTGCGTCCTTTTTTCCTCTCATAATATATATATATATATATATATATATATATATATATAAATATATATATAGGTTTTTTTTTCAAGTTCAGGTCTTTTTTTTTTTACCAAAGCACTGCGTTTTAAACGGTGGGTACAAGGTAGTCCCGTGACTTGTGCTTTAATGGTTTCCTCTCTCAGGCTGTCTGCTTTTTTTATTTACGACAAACGAGCGCGAGTAATTTACTGTTCACTTAGCTGACATTGGTACATTTTTGAAACGAGTAGCCTTTCGGACAGGATTGATTTCATCATGTTTCCGGTCGCAAATGAGAAACAACGCTTGAGTGTGGCGCTCATAACAAGGCGATTCTTGTAACATCTGTTTACAGCATGTTTCTGTTATTATACACTTCCTTAATTAAACTTAGGCACACGAATGTGCTATATATGCTGCTCAATGGTAGTTGTAATCATTCCTGGAGAACTCTCAGCTAGAGAAGAAACGCATCGAAAGAAATAAACAAAAAGTTACAACAGAAGAAAGTCTTCCTTTGTGCTTCTCGCTAGTCTCCATTAAAAAACTTTAAAAAGGATAAATCTTGCCTGTTTCCGGACCGGGGGAGAAGAGTTTCGTTCACGAAACCAGATGACGATTTCCCACACAAAAAATATGTATTTTACAGTTGTTTGGAACGGCGTGCAAATTACCTGTGGCACTGACTACAGACATGCGATTCGTCGCGTTTCGATTATTCAACCTTCGTTATCTTATTTCTCACTTCGTATTTCGTAGTCTCTAACTGGTGACCTATATCAGAATCGAACAAATCCTATTTTTTTTCCGCTCGTAAATTTCGGTAGCAGCTGAACAGCCGAGACGAATTTGTTACTTTCAGGTCTTGACATGACACTTTTCACTGCCTTACACACGTGTGACGTATCACATCACGTGACCTGAATCGAACCGTTTTCAAAATGGCCGTCGATTAATCGTCAAAAAAATTTGTAGAAAATTTGATTTTGCACAATATATCGTTAATTTGCTCATTTTGGATTCTTTAACCTAAGAGGAATGTATCGGGACAAAAAAAGAAAGGAGAAAAATTTGGCGTCAGTTACCGACGCTACAATTATAACATTGGTATGGAAAAATAATTTAAAAATTTCTACATAGACCCTTAAGAAAATGAGTTTACAAAAGAACTGCACTATCAACCCAACACAAAGATTTCTTTATTGACATCTCACTTGAAAAATAACAATACAATATTACCGCAACTTCGAAAATCTCTAACTTTTCAAAAGCGTGTTTCGAAGGTTAGGCAAATAAACATTAATAAAGGGTCGTAAGGAACATTGATTTTTGTGGGGAAAGGAAAATCGGGAGGCAAATCCTTTCACCAATACGTCGCCACTAAAAACTTAATCCAAGCTACATTTACCTACTTTTTCACCACAGTATAAAAATAACATCTTTACCTTAAGTATTGTAGGCTATTCCAACGGTCAAAACGTGTCTCACATCTCTTGTCTTAATCATGTTCACAGTTACTGTACTTAGGGTTGATAAAAATGGCTTCGTCATCCTGAAACGACTATTCTTAGACTAATTGATTGAAAATACACTGCGTTTTTATTTGTCTCCTCGCAAGTGAGATAGAACACCTAATTTTTGGAATGTTTCGTTCTTTTCACGTACAATGTCACCATAGCACCACTGCAGCTTTTTAGAAGTACTCATTCTTTTGGTTTTGTGTACCTGTACCTTAGAATGGGATGGGTGATACCCGTTTCCCATTAATGAAAGATCAGTGCCACCTTAATCTTGTGATAATTTAGCAGTTGCAACTTGATTCAGTACCGAGGTTACTTTCTCTTTCTCTACTAGATATGTATACGTCAATATCAGACAAATCTAAGTTGCCATAGATCTCGTTTGCAATCATTCTAAACATTTCTTCAACGTTTAGGCCAGTTTTTGCACTCGTCTCGATGTAATTAATGCCGAGCTGTTTGGCACAATTTTCCCCTCTCTTTCTAGTGATGACGCGTCCTCTCTCCTCCGTTTTATTACCCACTAAAATTAAACTCACATTATCTGGTGCACAGTTCTTAATAAACTGGTGCATTCTGGGAACTCCTTTAGTGAAAGAAGACTTATTTGTTACATCATACACAATAGCTATGCCTTGAACGTTTCGTATGAGCTGTGGAACTATAGATTGGCATTTTTCTTGGCCTGCCGTATCAACAATTCTCAAAGTAAACTCTCGGTCGTGCAGACGGATCGTAGAATTCTTAAAGTCCATGCCAAACGTAGGAACAATTTCCTGAAAGAAGATGTGGTCAGAATACCGTAAAATTAGAGATGACTTTCCTACACCGGACTCTCCGAGAACGGCAACTTCAATCTTTGGAGTTTTCCCCCCCATAACAATTCTTTCCTTCTGTTGTACCTTCTCAGATTCACATTGAAACAGTTCAGCGAGCTCCTTGGCGCTAGGTCTCTTCTTAGGGGAATCCTTGATACAACAGAAGACGATATCTTTCAGCTTATGCTCACCCATCATCTCGATGTCACTCTGACGGCGTTCCTTTTCTGGTATTTGTCGACCATCTGCTCAATAAAGAGGGAAAAAAGGTATAATTTGCTGCAACAAAAGCTTGATAAGTCGCAGTTCTAGAGCTTGCCAACGTGGGTACTAGAACTGAGTAAAATATGACTGCCAAGTTGCATGTTCCTGGGTAAGATTCAATTTCAAGATACCACGCTGTAGCACTGAGCTACAGGGAACTCGTTGGTTGGCTAAAGACGTATACCAAGCTCAAGCTCCGAGATATCCCACCCCCTTCGACCAGCCTACCCTTGAAAAAAACGTAAAAATGAAAAAAAAGGCAAATTTTTCCAACGAATTTTGCTAGAAATTATGACTTTTTACGATCGAGGTCTACATAACTCCAATTCATGGCTCTCTTCTTCCATTCGTTGCCACCAAAAGACCCCGCTACGTTTCTGTTGTTGTTGTTGTTGTTTTTTTTTTGACATTATACTAAAATAATACTTACACTTGATTTATGACCATTGCCACCTATTTTAAGGTTTTACTTTCTCTCAAGAACTTCAATGTCAGTAGCGTGAAGAGTTCGTGCATGAGCCACACGCGCATGCATTGCGGACCTGTATTTTCTTTAAAATATGTTCAGTTGCATGTATTGTTTACAAAAGTGCGATACGTACCTTTCGTAAAAGGTGTCCATGGTTTTGGGGAGGGCAGCCGTCCGTTTATAACTTCCATCAAAGTGATTCCGAGTGAAAAGATGTCAATCTTATTGTCATATTCGACACGCGATCGGCCCCTTGAAACGGGAAAAATTGGATCATAGTCGGGGTGAAACGTTTCTGGCGCAGCATAAACTGGCGTTCCGGGTACAGGAGAACAATAATTTTGTTCGCCTTTTGGAAGCACTATGGCAAGACCGACATCAGCAATCTTTGCCTGCCTTTCCTTGGTCAGAAGTATGTTTTTGCTGGCCAAGTCTCGGTGAACTATCGGTGGATTTTGCTGATGAAGATACGCGAGACCTTCCGCCACGTCTAACATAATCGAGACAGTTTCTGAATATGGAATCCTCCCTGGATGACAATTAGCAATGTACTTCCCTAAATCACAATCCAAGAGTTCAGTTACCAGCATTGGCGGTGAAGTATGTGAAATGATAAATTCCAATAACGTAACCACGTTTTTATGCTGGAGGTTTTGTAGAATTTTGCATTCCGCTTCAAACTGCGCCAAATATTCGTTGCGAGGACATGTGAAGAGCTTTTCATGAAGAATTTTAACTGCTACTGGTCCACCGTTCCATTCAGCTTTGTAAACGCTTCCAAAACTCCCGCTCCCCATAAGTTTCTTCCTCTTAAGATTTGGTAACATTCTAAACAGGACCGATTTTTTCCCTTACTCTCGTCAACTGTCTGTAGAATAAACATGTAGGCCGGAAGTTGTCGTACTTTCGCTTTTCAGATGTCTTGATCCCAGGTTCCTCTCATTGCATGACATCTCCATTCTCTTTCCCTACGCTAAGCGCTACAATTAAAAGTCATCCTCACTTTTCGTAGCCCACGGCATAATTTAGTTTTCATCTGCTCTCAGTAAATTGGGTCTCCGTTTTCCGACAATCGCGAGGGGTGAAATAAAAATGTTATGTTTGAGGCTGGAAATTAACTTCGCTTGCACACATACCATCACAATCAAATAAAGCAAAATGGTTGAATAACCCAAATGGACAAGCGAGAAATTAAAGTCGAACCTCCCAGGGATAGTATACCGAGTTGGCGACTCTGCCAACAAGTCAGAGGGTATCTGGGAATGAGTACTTTGCCATACTTTCATAACAAGTATAGTTTTTCCACGAAGTCGGTAAATCAACTAAAAATGAGCACACGAAGTAGTCGCAGGGAGTATTTGATGAGGTCTTCCCATGTTTCTGTTCAACCGATTATTTCAATTTCACTCTCACGTGCTATTTAAAGTGGTCCTCAAAGAATGCATCCTTCAGCTACAGGGGGGGTGGGAGGAAGGGGGCTGCCCTTACCTCACTGACGCAGGTGATGCTTGAGTGGTGTCAAGAGACAGAGAGACAACATTTACAAAATTAAAATAGGACCATTCTTTATATTTACCAGCTTGCTTATGCACTATACAGGTAAGAAATCGAAGCTTTAGAGCTGTAAAAGTAAAAATTGAAATATGCACTAGAAGTAAACATAAATTGCTGCGCAATGCAATTAGGCTCTATTAAAATGGTATAGTTGCCTCAGTAGGTGCCATCATATTTCTAATTACTATTTACAATCTAAAATAACCATCTAAAAATTCTAATTATAGTTAAAATGTCACCTTTCTCATAACCCTCAAATACTTGTACAAAATTGCTTTTTAAAGACTGATGCTACAATGTTATTCTACAAGATAAGCCTAATAGGAAATGCAGTTACCATTTTCACAACAACATAATAAACAAACAAACAAACAAAAAGTGATTAGAATTTTTTGAGAAATTCATGGAAAGGAGAAAGAGGGCAATGTGCATGCATACAGAGTCCATGTTTTGACAAATTAGTTTCACAAAAACTTCCCTCCTAAAACAAGGTTTGTAATCCTGCACATCCTATTATCCTGTAATATTTTTGCAATGCTCATTGTTAGATGCCTTTGATGTGCAAAGTCTCCCCTTAACTTTGTACATGCCAGTTGCAATCCGAGTATATGCCAAGTGCAAATCAATTAGTGTTGTTAAATTTCATAAGTACTATGAAGGCTAAAATCTTAGTTTTAATATCATTTTAGACTGTTATGAGTATTTCCTTTCGCACTTAAAATAAAAGGAATGACACTACTTCCAGAATTACCAGAATATGATGGGCTGTGGCATAACAGTCTGCATGCTATTCTACAATCAATAATGCAAACTCCAGGGTTGGAAACTTTATCAACCTCACCCACACTTTGCCATTTTCCACCAAACTATAACATACTAAGACCAGTTTTAACTGGTTGCACACACAATACTACTTATCCATCACTAAAATCACAAGTACAAAAGGAAAATTCACTAAATCAAAATGAGCATTAATGTGTAACTTAATTTGGAATACTTTGCACAAAACTAGTGACACAGCCGTATGTACACTACAATCAACACATACATTTACCATTTCCCCCTAGCCAGGCAAAACTCTTCCTTGATGTGTGCAGTTGATCAGCTAATTTCACAATTCCACAAATACATTGATACAAAACTGTACCATATTACTTCAAAATTTGCTGTTAAATTTTATAAGTTACAAGCTACTTATTCATATTTATTTTTGGTTTGCAGTCAAAAGGATTGAATTCCATAGACATTCACAACACTAACATGACAAACATTAATTCCAGAAAACCTATGTAGCACAAAACATAAGTAAATTTTATGTGACTCATAACAACTGCAAAAGATGCACCTATTTCCAATGTCAGTTCAAAAGACATCTACAGGTCTGATGATCTTCGCCAAAAACTTTAAGTTTGTCACCTCTTGAGGTTTACTTTCACAATTTCTCCCTCTCTAAGCATGGTTGCAAATTCCTACATAATTTGCCTCTGTGAAAAATGAAAGGACTTTTAAATATTAGATACAACCAATAGATGAACTTAAATTCTTGTTTCTCCTTGAACATTCTGAGAAGTTGCAACCACATGGGGTGTAGTTTGATGATGTGATCTCAACCAGTGTTTCATCAAATGTTCAATTTTTTGGTTGAATGTCATTCATTTTCAATGTGTTGCTCGCATAGTTACAATTTCCTGAAAGCAGCCTCTTAACATACTAACCCCAATATAGCCCTACACATATAATTTCCATTCTTGTTCTGACCTAAATAATGTACACTTGTCTTTTTTATCAGTTGCTAGCCTTTCAAATAAGTTGCGAATGGACACTTGGTTTGGTCCTGGTATAGAGTACCATGTTCCTATAGATATCCCAAACAATCTGCAATTATAATTGTCCAATGGAACTAAAAAGAAAATATAAAAGATTACTGTCTGGCAACTTGCAACTGAGTATGGCTGTTTTATGTACATTTCTCCCTCTATTTGGACATCAAAGGCACATTTGTATGCAATCATTGATTTTCATAATTATATAAAATATAGTTAGTAGCATATTGCCTTTTTGATAAAGATTCAACTAAAAAGTGAGTATACAGCATTTTTGCATATGGTACAGCATACACAAAACCCAGTAATAGGTTTTGAGCATTTAATAAGCTTTAAGCCTAACTTACATCTTTAAGTATTCAATAAACATTCACACATGAAATAACACATTCTATGAAACTCATCAGGACATTGATGAACAGTGAGCAGAAGGAGAACCCATCTGCGTAAGAACTTTATCAAGCCATTGAAGGGGGCCATTGAGGTGAAGCTCAATCCAACATGGTGTACTTGTTACAGTTTGTCTGCGATACTCAGCACCCCAGCCTTTTACAAACGACATTCTGATGGTACACATACGAGTTAATGCATACACTGCCTCAAAACCTTGATTGACAGACTGTGACAATAACTGAGCAAATTCTTGATTATTAAAGATCTTTAGGTTGCATCCCGGTGGAATCTTACACACAGTGGCTGGGTGCCAGCCATACCGTTGATTACAGTTGGGGCTCTGTACAAATATACTACTGTCACTTAAACACTCAGCAAACACTTCACCACCAATGTAATAGAGGCGGACTCCCTTCCCAATGTGTTTACGTGTCATCTCTATTTGAGGGTTGCGGTTAATATTAGACAACAATCCCAAACAGAATCTGTCACAACTAGAGGGATCAGTAAAGCCATCAACAGTAAGACTTGGTCGAGCTGCATGAAAAATTTCTCCCACTCTTGTGTTCATCTCATAATATGAAATCTGGCACCAGTATGCTGGTTCAGTGTACTGGACAGGCTGTGCATCTGGAAGACAACAGAACAATGATTAGAACATAGCTTCACAAAATACACTTGATCCATTTGCCTGTGGGTTGCAAGCTAACCTCAGATTGTTTTCCTTTTTTCCCTTCAGGAAACAAAAGATGTTTGACAGTATCAATGTTATAAATGAAATGGTTAACATGCAGCATGCAACCATTGAGTTATGAAAGCACTTAAAAAACTAGAGTCACTCCCTGCTACCACCTTGTGCCGCTCTTACTCTTCTCTTGTGCTTAGCTGCCTCCCAAGTACATCCATAACTCACTGCACACTAACCATTTCCTCATTACAATTAAGCCTCTTGTTGCACACATGTTTATATATGTATTGTTCATATAATGAATAATGAAACAAATAAAAAAGGGTTTACGTTAAAGCTTAGCAGTAGCAATCACATGGTGAAAGGTAACAAATGAAATACTTGTTTTTACCTGCAAGGGATGGATCTGGAGATAGAGGACCTGGATCTGCAAGGAAACCAGAAATATAGTTGCCACTGAACTCTGACTGTAAAGAATGTTTGGGAGGCTGACTAGTGAATTTCAATTTAGAATGTGGTTTACAGGCTACATTTTTTGTACACCAGTCAGAGGGAAAACTAATGAAAAGAGAATGGGTTTGCAATATGTTTAAGTTATTCACTTAATTTACTGAAACTACCCAAAGGATTTCCCTTGTTCATACTAAAAGCAAATCAAAATAGTGTAAAATGGCTCCTTTATCGTGACATGAATTAAGCTGCAAAAAACTACTTGGGGTCTTACCTGTCTGCATGCTCTGTGGTTGATCTCCTGACACTGAGCACTGATCCTCTGACATATAACCTGGAGTATCTGCACAGGCAACAGAAACAATACAAGTTAATAACCATGACATCAGACCATCTTTTTGCATGATACAAGTCCTTGACAGCATGATTTACCCAAAACACAACAAATTTGTGAATCTCATGTTCAGACAATAGAAAACATCTCACAGAAAGTGACAGGGGCTTGTGGTTTGCCTAACTAACAACATTCTTTCCTGGTGTTGTTACTCAGTTTGTTTTTCGTGTTTGTGTTGACATTTGTGACGTGTGGACATCATGCACATATGCAATTCCCTCAAAACATTTCAACCTTTATGTTATAAACAAGTCATCACAAGTTCCTATGTGCGATAAAGGATTAATTTCACTTCTATTTCTAAAGTTTTCCCAAACTTAACAAGGAAAACTTTAAATTTTGAAGTGAAATTAATCCTTATTAGCCCTCAGGCCCATGTGATTACTTTTGCAAAACATGACTGAAACAATATCATTTCCCTGTAAATTGACATTTTGCTTGCTGTGATTGTTAGGGGTACGTACCCCTAAATAATTGGCTGGCAGTTCATAGTGTGAGCCAAGTGTCAATATAAATCTTACGAGAGGGTGTGACATGCTTCTCAACCTTCAAAAGACCAAACCTTCCACTATGATTTTGACAAAATACCATCTCTTTTAATACCAGTAATGGTAAGAGGATTCAGTGGAATCCAATTTGTTTTGTAATTGTACAAGTGATCCACAAAATCAGACAAATGCAAAGCAGGAGTGCAATCTGTTGATTTAAAGTATAATAATAGATTGCTTTGGACACCTCAAAGTTCTGTTACCAGTTAATCAAACAATGACAAAATTTGAGAAATCATCTAGTATTGGTTATACTTATCAGGCAAAGCAACAGTAAAATCATGAAAACAGGATGCAAATAACACAAACTGTCCAATGACACAGGCAAGACATGTAAACTGTCCTATTATAATGTCCAGTTACAAGCAAGGAAGACACCATCAAGGGTTTGGAGAAACCTTAACCCTTTGACTCCTAGGAGGGACTAGCATCTAATTTCTCCTTACAATATCACCCCTGAATAACACATTACTGTCATGAGAATAAAGGAAATGATCACCAACTAAAGAAACTCTTAATTGTTTGACAAATCAGTACACAGCACCTTAGTAAATGTACAGAGAACAGTATGGAGAATATGAAAACTGATGTTAATGTGTGACTTAATGACCTGAAAAAAAAATTTTGCCCTCCATTTTGAGACTCAATTCATTTTTTAGCCCTTTAACCCCTTAGAGTAACCAGCTTCTAACTTCTCCCTACAATATCAGCCCAGAAGCAAACATTACAGTTATGAGAATTGAGGAAATGATCACCACCTGATAAAGCTCTTGATTTTTAAACAAATTCTCATTGTCAGCACTTCAAGAAATGTATAGAAGCAGTATAGAGAATATGCATACTGACATTAGGGTGTAAAGGGTTAAGAAATACCAAAGCAAGTCAAATGGTTCACAGCCAGGACTTCTTCTCCATGCCCATTCTGTGGTCTCTTATTTGTATTCTTTGGTACAATACTTCACTTTTGTACTGCCTCTTTCCACACATTGGGGGAAATTAAAGGTTTGTTTTTCCTTTTTCTTTCTTAAGGTCAATGTGTGTTCCTAGCTGGAGCAGTAGCTACAGTTTTGTATACTCCTTGTCTGTTCATTCTCATAGAGAAGAGATTAAACCCAAGCAACCTAAACATCAGGATAATGATGTTATGCCAGTGCTCCCATGTTTTTCACTCACCATGGTGAGTGAAAAACATATTTGACGACTAGAATTTCAACAAAAGTTGCAAATTGGCAACCAACAGATTAAAAAAAAAAAAAAAAAAAAAAAGGGGGGGTGGGAGGAGGAAAGTAAAACATGAAAAATTTATTGATCCTTGGTCAAATTATCAAATGAACAAATGCAAACAAACTGTTGTGCGACTCCCAAATTGTACCTACCAGGCAACTGGAATGGGGAGTTAGTGGGCTCTTGAGTAGGAAATGAAGTATTTTCAGGTCTGGTGTATTCTGGGAGTGCTGGACGTTCTCTGGGAACTTCAGTTGTTTGACGTGGAACAAGAACAGGTGGAAGTACTAAAAAAACAAAAGCAGTCAAATAAGTTATAAGCTACCCATTAAAATATGGTGACACTTAATGATTGAACAACCAATGTTCTTTGGCAAAAGTTACCCCTGGTTCTTGGCCTTAAAGAGAAGAACACCATAAGGTACACATATAATACAGATTTAACTTGCCTGGATAAATTGTTCAACATGTCATTTATACCTAGTACTATTATGATGCAGCACAATGAACACAAAATCATAAAACAATTGAATGAAAGCATCATAAAAAGGCATTACCCACAGACATTATCCCAAAATATTGATTTTCATTTTAAAGAAAAATAAAAAGATTTAAAATCTGACTTTATTCTCAAATCTTAGATCTAATTTCTGCTTAATATCAAACTTCTTGCAATCAGAATGTATTTAGTTACCAGATATTCGACCGCAAATACATGTTACTACCTATTGGCTTTATCCATACCATGGTTTTGATAGCAAGTATTCAGATATATCATATAAGGGATTGTTAATACAAAATAAATCATTTTTTTTTTCACACTATCAACATTTGAAGATAGTGTTAATCAAAACTGTGACTGGATCATAGAAAAGGATTGGATACTCTCAAAATCAAAGAAACCCTTGTCTCTGATCTGGAACTTAACAGATCTGACCAGGTCATGACCCATAAGGAGGTTGTTTATTCCCATTGTCCACCCACTAGAACAGATAATGTCATTCATAGATTTGTTTGAACTCTGCAAAACAACTTTCCAAAGTTTCAAAGTTTTCTGTCCATAAAAATATATTTTTAACTGTTGAACTGTTTTACAGGTGTATTTGAACAATAAAATGAATATAAAGTAAACTTTGAGGAATTTATTTGGCACTTCAGATTGATCAAAGTCACATAGTGTTACTTCCTTATTAAATGATAATGTCGACTGTGATTTAGCAGGAAAATTTAATGAAACTCAACCATTCCAATGTTCACAACAGTTTGAACTGCAGCAAAGTACTGGGTAATGCTCAATGTTACAGGATTAAAGTGTTGCTACTGTTACTGAATGCACCAAACACAGCAAATAGTGCACACCTAAGCCCAATAAACAGTATTATGAAGTGTTAGCTTTGATAAACATGTTCTGCTGATAAAAGCCACACACACACACACACACAGAAAACCAAGTCACACCCTTGACCAATGTAAATCACTGATATACTGATATCAGTGTTTAAGACACATAAGCATGTTAAACATTACACCAATGTGTGCTTCAAAATATAAGAGGAAAAATAAACTATTTGGACAGACACAAAGCTTTAACAACAACAAGAACTGCACACTCCTTACAAGAGAAAACAAAGAAACCATATATCTTATTTATTAATAGTATTCGACTGATCAAATAATAAAAATAAAATTCCAACGGAGAAAATGTAGAAGTTAGTATTTCACAATAGGTTAGGTTTCACTGGCAAAAAGGAAAAACAAGTTTATGAAACAACGCATGGCGATTAGCATTTTCATGATATCACGTAACAACATCACCATTGTGAAATGATTCGAACGAAACCATGAACAATAATGCAATGGAAACAGTAAAAAAGGTAAATTCTAAAATACTTGCATCTTCACGAACAACTCATTCGTTTGACAATCGTAAAAAATGATAAAGGTGAAAAATCTGCAGTTGATCATTGGCTCTATATCAGATAACAAGAGAACGTATGGAGACTCCCTTCCGGAGACAAGCCCAATTTTCTTTATTTGATTTCTCGTACAAATTGCCTCCAGAACAATGCAAAACAAAACTTGTATATACACTCTCGCTGTTTGACTTTGCATTACTACGCATCATCGACCAAAGTTTCGTATTCGTCAACGAAAAATGGTTGATAATTTCTCCTCATTAATTTAATTTGACGGAAACAGACCGAGGCACTAGCGTGGCGAATTACAAATGTATACAGAGAAATAAAATTCTTAAGTCAACAATCATTCACGACCTAAGAGCTTTAATGTGTAGGACACAGCTTATGAACTTCGATTTGGAAACATTTTAAAAAATATTTGACGCGGTTCTGGGCTATTTCATTGCTTGGTCAAACGACAAACAACTGGCCGTTTGATAATGAAACATATCACAAATGAAGTCCGTAAAAAAATATCCTACGACTTTCAAATAAATATAAAACTTAAGTGGGACAATGTGTCATTGAGCACTGTCAAACTACCGCTGAAAGTACTTGAAAGTTTGCCTTATAGCGAGAAGATCGAACTTTTTCTCGGCGCGAACACAAACACACGTACGTTTGTCGCACACATACCGTCGAATAACTATTCATTTGGTCGAACATCTTTCCCAAAATTCAACGATTCAAACAACAATATCTAAAGTAACATTTAATCGAGTTAGTTTAGAGGCCTTTGAGAAGCAGTAGAGAGGATTCAAACCAAACCCACGAAAAAACTGATTGAAATGAAAATCTGTATGATAGCGGCATATTTCCTTTAGCGTCCATAACGCGCTAGGAATAAATCGGCAACTGATCGTAAAGAAATTGATCAAGGTTGAGAAAAAAACCTTGGCAGCGACTGTCGGGAATAAAAACACCGAGCCTAACAACCAGTCCGCAAAAATCGCACAAAAAAAGTCCTACAACACCAGCCAGTGTCCTAGTTTTACGTTGTACTACACAATTTTACCATCCAACATGACCTCCGCAAAATCAAGGCATCTGTTTTGAAAATGGAAATTAACCGATCAGATCCGATCAAAGACTCTATCTACAAAGCAGCAATTCAATATTGGACGTCAAAAACAGCTGATAGCAAAAGGCGAAGAAAAATTAATCTAGAACGTGCACAACCTATGAGCACATTTTGCAGGTTTTTTGAACACATGTTCGTTCATTCAATAGTACGAGATACAACGGCCGATTAACGCTATGTTGGTTGACAAACCATCAGTGAAAAGGCGAAATTTGAAGTGGCCATTCGTCTAGAATCTTTTACTCGAGAGGATTGCATTTCTGCAGTCAAAAATGCACTTTTTCTTGCTTACATATCCAGCAATTATCGAACACATGGACGAAAGCGTAATTATCAAGGAAGAAACATACTCATTTTCTTCGCGACTTAGGCATTACAAGGATGTTTTAATGGCATGTTCGCTTGTCATCCCTGCTGCTTTCGAAAAGGTAAATTATAATTTTATACTTAAGTAAAACATTCAGATTTCCTGCCATCCAGAACGATCGCAGGAGACACTCGAGCAGTGTACAAAGTAATGGAACACGCGCGCTGAGATCAAAACAAAACTGGATAGACTAATTGGGACGCCGAAAGAACACAAACGAGATATTTCTACGACCCCGTAGAGCATTCTTTGCGTAAGGAATTGTGCACAACATTGATTGTAAAATTACCTGGTGTTTCTACTCGCTGATAGTGGAAAGGATTCACACAAACTTCATCTTTCTTCAAGCTAAAAGCGTATTCACACGACTCGATAGGTCGCAATTCGTGATGGCTTTGCAAGTCCGGCCAACGCCATAGTCGACAGTAAATCACATGAGGCAGACCTTTGCGATGCGAAACTTGCAAACGGCCGTCTAAACTGCGAGGTATTGTCACACATTTAGTAGGAATACCCGGGTTCGTGATCGCTCTTTCCAGCTCCTCAAGGCCTCCAGTTTTCTTCAATTTCTTTACCAAACTCTTCACTGCTTTCTCGGCCCATTTATCATCGTCGTCCGTACTTCGCTTCCAGCCCAGCAATCTCTTAACAATGGGCGGCGTAAAAGGAAGAAGCGAAGTCATATTACCAAAACACTCTGGCTAATCCAGATCTCTCCGGTTCTGTAACACGCCAGCGTTAACCCCTTAGTCTTGGAAGCAAACGTGAATCGATTCCCAATTCTCGCTTATCCTTTCTTTGCATAGGATCGAGTCCATTTCTTGACTGACAGGTGAGGCATTCTCATCAGTTTTACGTGGGAGGTACGCGACCACTAACCAATCACAGCTCTCGTAATATTGACGTCATAGTGCTCCTGACATTGACACAAAGCTGTGGTTGATCAGAAAATAGGTGTCGTCACGTGACTAACAATCGTTTTTCTCATTCCACAATGAAAACGAAAACTTTTGCTATTTCTATTTCATAAGGTTTTCGTGTCTCGGTAAATCTACAATGAAAACGATCAAACCAGTTTTCAACAATGTGACAAGAATTTAATGAAAGTTTTTCCCTGACCTCTACTAATAGTTCAAAATTGATTGCGCGTATAACCACAAAGTTATTTTTGTAAAAAGGCAGTAGACGACTGAGGTGCCGCCCGAGTCAAATATGGTTCGTGAGAATCAGTCAGTCACGTTGATGTTAAGTTTATTTGTTTAGAATTATTCTGTTTACAGAGAATTGACACCTATGATGACATTAAGGGTGCAATTCCTAGGCAACTTTTAATGACCTTTGGTGACTCTCGCGCTCCAAGGCGGAAACGTTTCTCCCGAGAAACCCACTTTTCGTCTAATTTTGAACTAGTCTATTTACTTTAATCTTCTCATGAGCATGATTTTACGTTCTAATGGAACTGTTTGGGTGTCATCAGAAGTTGTATTTATTTCTCTGTTTCCGACGATTACCTTGCAAGGTACTTTCGTTAAGAAAAATTAACACCTATCGAACAACTATTTTGGATATCAAAGTTTGAGTTCCCATTCTGACATTTGGCGCTCCCAATTTCAGGCGCTCAATACCAGTTGATCGTGTATATAACTTCACATGCAATTCTTCTAATTCGCGAAAAAATTCCAATACTAGTGGATGTGAGCTAAAATGAGATTTGTTTTACCAGCAAAGTGCCATTAATGATACTGCATCATATTTCTATTACAACAGAGTCTTTTAGACCTATAATTTGGAACTAACGATAACAAGGCGAAACGAAACGAGATTGTCATCCACCGGCTCTTTTTTTTCACGCAATGCAGCCCTAAATTTTGATAATGCCCAGAAATTGGCGTGCCCAATTAGTGACTCCTTTTAATAATAGGTAATTTAGTGTTAACAACTGGGTTGAAAACGTAAATTAGCCACCGTAAAGGGTAAAAAAGCTGACGTTTTGAGCGTTAGCCCTTCGTCAGAGCGAAGGACGAAGGGCTAACGCTCGAAACGTCAGCATTTTTACGGTGGCTAATTTACGTTTTCAACCCAGTTGTTAACACTAAATTACCTGCTATACTCTCCCACCGAAGCAGCACCACAGTTTCTTTGGAAACTTACCCCTTTATATCCTTTTAATAATAATTGAACGTCGTACATAATCACCGAAATGAAATCTGCTACACTGCGATAAGTTACTTGGGTAACCCACGACAAACTAGCGTTGGTGAAAGTCCTAAGAGTCCTACCTCAGTTACGTCATCTCGTAATATCCCGGTGGCCGCTGTCCCTTTCCGTTGACGGAAATTCCTTTGAGGTAGGATAATTTCTCAAAGGGAATTTTAAACAAAATGCGAGCGGAACCCTATTTCAGCCTTCGACCTGTCACTTGTTAAGCAATGATCTCAGCGGTGATGTAACGGAAACAATTTAGGTAAAGAAGATAAGAATTTTGGAGAATGAATTGATCGACTTGCTTACATCTAAGAATTAGTCGATAAAATAATGTCATTTTGTTTCTGTTGGATTGGAGAGATTATCAAGTTCATTATCTCTTCAAGAAGCATACCGTTTACATACACTGTATACACACCCGTTTTTCAATTTGAAAATGTTCATGAAATATATGTATCTTTTCTTTTCTCATCAAAAAGAGCCACTTGTTAATGAGAAAACTTAAGGTGTATATATTACATATATTTTTAATTCAGATTGCAACGTTTTCGACAACGGGTGTATATATATATATATAAATATTATGAGAGGAAAAAACGACGCAACTACATTTCCCGACAAGCCTGTTTCGTGAATCGCCTCGCGATTCACGAAACAGGCTTGTCGGGAAATGTAGTTGCGTCGTTTTTTCCTCTCATAATATTTATTCTGCTCTGCTTCAACGTATTGAGCACTGTTCCACGCGAAAATCGACTTGCAGACTTCCTATATATATATTTATATCATAATAAAGTTCGAACAATATATATATATTTATGTTTATATCATAATAAAGTTCGAACATAACGCGCGCTGTCATTGGTTGAAAGCTAAGCTAAAGTTGTCACGCCGTCTGCCGACTATGTCCGACCTTTTCCAGGACCTCTCTCTAGCCTTTTTCGTTAATTGAAAGTGAAATTTTGGAACAAGCGAGCCGGCAAGTAGAAACAAAAGAACCAAGCAAAGGTTTGTAAACGTGCCAGGCGCCGTAATTTACGTTATTATAAAGTGAACAGAGAATGAGAAAACGAAATGGACACTACGAGTTTTGAAGGTTAGATTGCAAGCTTGCGTGCGGTAATAAAAATCAAACACAACTAACACTTGTGTAGTGTATAAAGTTTCGAGATCAAAAACAAAACAGGAATGATGAAAGATATAGCCAAGCCGGCATAACTGTTAAAATTCATACTAATCAGGACGGTGTCAAAACGACTGCGATCATGCTGAGGTCCAACGCGGCTAGCTCATCAGGGCGATCTCTGGCCATCGCAGTGAAGCAAGCCTCGGAAATAACATCGGCCGCCCTCCGAGTGAGCAACTAAGAGTTTGCTCCGATATCCTTTCCGATGTGTTGAGTGGAAGACCACATCAGTCACTGCAGCAGAGTTTTACGGTGCTGTTATCCCGAGCAATCTTCACGTTCCGGTGAATTCGGCTGTCGTTCATTCATAAAACACACGCCTAGAACAGTTTGTTTTCCAATTGTCATATGAAAAACTTGAGTGTTTTTATGAGCCACAATTCGGCCGGATTTCACTGAATATTTCACTTACAGATTCTGTGTAAGGGCCGATAAGTTGTTAATTTAAACAAATTTTCTGTCATCACCGAAGTACAACAAGTGCGGATGGTTTGTTGCGACTCGACAAATTTTAGCCGAAGCGGACAAATCTTCGAACGCACCGCCGACAAAATTTGTCCCAGGTAGAAACTGGAAAAAGTCGTTCAGATTAACAAAATTGTGGTTATCTTGTCAATCATTTGTCAAAACAACTTTTAGCGGTATAAATTTAGCATCTCGGTTGTTTCTCGCGCGTGTTGCGAAAGTACATTTAAAATTTTCACAACAAACAAAATAAATCCCTATGATGGGAACTTAAATCCAATGGCACACTATGCCCGTCATCCTCATGAACAGCCCAACTCTGTAAGAAGCTGGAACGTCCCACCTTTCGACGACCAGTTTGGTCATCAATATGCAACCGAGAGAATTTACGAGAGAGGAGCAATATTCCAGTCACTGTCACGTTTTCCTTCCGACGAAGTAGAAGAGATTGCTGTAAAAAAATTGAAAATATTATAATGAAATACGATATTGAAAGTGTTTACAGAATTAGACGACTTTAACCACAGTCAATGCGGATACAGCAGACGAGACAATCGTCACGACAAAATTTGTCAAAGGATTTTGTCACACAATAGCAATTACGGAATCACGGAAAATAGCAATTTTGTCTGTTAGCGGATCGGCTCTTAGAGACTAAAAAAACTTAAGGTAAAAGTGCTCAATTCGACCTGCCGAGCTCCCAAGTTTGTAAACTATTACAGAATGTAAACTTTGATAGTTTGACCTCTTTTGACAGCTTTAGTCTTGCACAACCAATCAGATTATTTGAACCATTCTAACAGGGATTCTGGTTGGCGTATTGTAGCGTGCTCTAGGAGAGTATAGAGCATGCTGACGACACCGTTGTTCGCTTTGGATATAAAGTTTGTTTTGGAAATTGAAAGTAATCCATGGGGAATTAAACGGCTTCTTTATTAAAAAACAAATAAAGAAGCCTTGACTGTGCGCTCGCTCTCTCTCTCTCTCTCTCTCTCTCTCTATATATATATATATATATATATATATATATATATATATATATATATATATATATATATATAAACAGTACTGTCTGTTAGTTATATATATATATATATATATATATATATATATATATATATATATATATACATACATTCATATATTTTATAATATTTCAAAATTTTAGATTACGTATTTGAATCAATTGTTCATCATTTGGTTCTTTTTTCATAATTATTATAATATTTTAGTAATGATGTCAGATTATGGCGTAGCCCCATAATTATACAAAATAGTAGTAACCCAGCAAGCCGAAAAAATTTGGTTGTACGACCGTACGACTGTACAAGATGCTACTTTTAACGTGCGTGGTCAACTGGGCTCCGAGTCGGACGACCCGGGTTCTAGTCCTGGCTGGGGCAAGGCGTTGTGCCCTTGAGACGTGCGGGAAAAAAAAAATGCGAGCTCCGCTTTTAGGCTTGGCTAAATCTATACATTAACAATAATTTTTGATTGTGAATTTTACTCAATAGATGACTAGAAACTTCATTATCCCATAGCTTCTAGGTTTACCAATAAATACCGAAACAGGTAGGTGAAGTTTCAACTCGATCCAAGTAAATCAGCCAAACGGAGCTTATCCCGGTTTCCATAACAGAAACTGAAACGAATAGAAGTATTATTAATTATTCCGATCTCCCTTGGGATACCATCTTCCTTGGTAATATAGAGACAGGTCAGAGACGATGAAATAAAAAATATATCTTAAACTTGCCTGTTGCAGTAAGTGTTTCACTGATACATCTGAACTCTGACATTAAAAATTTGAACTTAAGTAAGCTACGGAGAGACTCATTCATCAAAATGTCACTCATCTATGATAAAATCCCCGACATCGTGTGCTGAACTTATCGTCGGACCATTGAAACTGGAGTAGTATTGTGAATATGAAAGTGATCTTCGCAGTAATGAACACTATTTGAGCAGTAGTGAAAATAAGGCCTGAAAAAAATACCAGACCTGTGTCGGATTTGAACCCATGACCTTTCTACCACCTGAGCTAACTACAAGCCAACTGGGAGCTGGTCATCGTTTTGGTTCCAAATGAACCCGTGAAGTAATGAGGAAATGACTGATTCCAAATAAACCCGGGAATTAATGAACAAATGACTTTATTTTCACCGACTGCTCAAGTAGTGTACATTATTGCGAAGATTGCTTTCATATTCACGTCTTTATCCGCAGCTCACGTATATGATTTTCATATATTCACAGTCATGGAGTAGTATTGGTGACCTTTGTGAGTTTTCGTTAGCCGAGCTGGAGGTTATTTGCGAGAACTACGTCCGTTCTCTTGGTTTACCTTATTGAGCCGAGATTTCGTGAACTTATTGATTAAGCCACGCTTGGTACGACAAGTGTTTAATTGTTGTTGATGTTGCTGTTTTTGTTGATAATGCAGTGGTTCAGATTATTGCTTCTCTCTTTGAAATACCGGTGATCTGACTGATGATTGTCCCTAATCTCACGTTGTGCTCTTAGTCATCAGTTGACTATCATCGGCAACGGAACTGTCACCAGACCACAGGCGGCCCAAGCTCCAGCTGTGAGAAGTAAGAGTCATCATAAGAAAAGCGCTTCTCCTATGTACGTCATAAACCTAGAAATGGATAACTTGCTTAAATGGGTTCCTTTCAACATCGTAAGCGGTCAGATAACAAGCGATGCAATGTGGAAGTAAGGTGAGGTATATTTAGTGAGAATTTGACTGTGTTTACTTTATTCCTAAAAGTGGTCGTAAATATTCCCATACAAACTGATATAATTTCGCCATGACTCTTACTTCGCAAGATGATCATCTCACAGCTGGAGCTTGGGCCGCCTGTGTACCAATCAGGAAGAAAAGAGGACTGTATCATTCAGAAGTTTCAAAAACGCTCCTTTATATAAAGGAGCGTTTGTACCCCTTGATATAAAGGAGTACAAGATAATTGAGTTGATCTGAACTATAAATTATTATGACGGACTCAGAACATTTTACATTCTTCTAAAAATCTACAGTGCGTTTTTTTTTTCCAACTCCAGGAAAAATTTTTCCAAATGATAAAATCTGCGGGACTCTGCCTCACTCAAAATGGCATCTCCGTATCATCTTCTCTTGAATTTGAAAACATGCGCTCATGTGCACATTTTCAATTCATCGTAGATAAAAGTAGCCTGATGATAAAAGGGAGGCGAAGGAATGGAAAAACCGAGCGAGGTGTGGGTCGGATCATGCAATGCGACCCGACCCAAGCCTCTCTCGTTTTCCTTCGATCTGCGGCTACGACGGCGCCGTTAGCAACAACAAGGATGAAAGTTATGAACCATAACCACATGCAGTGCTGTGGTTTCTGATCCAAGTTCTTCACTCTGCAAGTCACTGGATATGTTTTCTGTTGCTTTACGTTCACCGCCTGTCCTGTCCAAAACTTTACAAAGATTCAAAGCAATTCTGCAGTATTGCACTACGCTTCTTGTATACTGAATCACATAATAAATATATCACATAAACAGGCGAATAAGCGCGCGTGCATTCCGAGAACATGGTATTGTTTCTCAATCAATGGACCAGGTAAAGGAGGTAAAATTATGATTAGCTCTTGAACGAGCACGGCCTATATTTTTTAATTGCACAATTTTGCTGTATAAATTATCCCCTTTCAGAAGCCCATTACTTGAGTGATGGGCTCCTGCTCCTTTATATTTGAGAAATTAAAAATTTTTTGAATAAATTGACAAGTCATAATTTCTGGGAAAAATTGCGCACCCAGCAAGATCAAATTGCTTGCTGGTAAGCTGGGAGTGAGACTGAGTTCCTAGTCTCTCGCTTTTCAATTCCCTATCAGGTGTGAGCTTCAAAACACCGCTGATAAGAACTCCATGAGAGTGACTGGGTTAGCCGTCCCAAATCCATGATTCCGGCTGCGAACTTGTAGTTACTCTTATGTACGTGGTAGGCGAAAAATCTTGAATCTTCTCGCATAAGGTTTGTTGCTCGGAAGGAAAGTTTGAATTCAACAAAGGAAAACTTAACTTTTTGATTAAAGAAAACCATCAATCTTTTCGTGGAAAAAGAATTTGCTCTCGCTGATTAACTGGAAACGAATACATTAGTGTTAGGATAACTTTGATATGAAATTTACTCATTAAATTGATAATTAAATTTATGATGATTGTTGTCATCCTCGTGATCATTACTATGATTAGTATCACCATTAGCATCATACTTATCATTATTTATAATTATTATTAAGATTAGTATCATTAATTCGGTCTGTTACTTCACATGGAAAAATAGCGACGTTTGATTAAACACGAAATTCGAGTTCGAATTGCAATACCGCGAGTAGACAGGTCAGTTTGAAGGTTTTTTTCATTTACCAGGAATTACTTACTAATGAGTGTAGCATGAGAAAAGATTCGTGCAATGACTTCGGAGTTAAAATAAAAGTAAAATTTGGTTTAATGTCCCGTGCCATTTTGCAACCCAATACCTCGGAGGGCTTTGTGTAGGGTGATTGAATCAAATCCGTTTGTTATTTCAGTACAGTCAAATTCAATTAATTTTCATGAACTTTTTTTTCTTTTTTTTCCCGCTAATACCGAGTTGCAAAGGTTGGCAATATTTATCATATTATCGTTATTCTTCTTTATAGCTTTGTCAATACACTGTATTCAATACGGTTTTCTGAATGAAGAGTACAGCAAGTAGCAAGGAGTTAAACGCGCGCTTTAAATCAGAGCTAGAAGGTGCAGGGGAGTGGGGGGAGTGTCAACTATGCCATTGTATCCACTGATAATCAGCGCTTACCCAGAGCCCCTAAAGATGACAGATGACGTGGGGAGATTTATACCGAATAGCTAACGGTTTAGGCTGCGCACCTCAAAAGGCCGGACTACTATGATACTTGTTCGCAGGATCCTCGTTTCTTTAAGATGACAATGAGTGGCTCTGAAGACGAGTGGGTTTAAGAAGGCAACACATTCTTGGATTACCTGAGATCTATAGTAATCCAAGAAAGGCCCGCCCCAAATCGTGAGCACTTGTCAACAACCGCTTACACATGGGTGGGGAGGGTCAGTGGGTCAATGACAAACGAATATATTTCAAGCATCTAGCTTTTCATTCTTTTACATAATACATCAATAATAGATATTTCTTGCTCAAGGGCTTAGCACAGCGGGATACTGTCATCCTCAGGGACAAATTGAACCCTTTCGTGTCTGAGATGTGTTGGAGTATTTACAGTGAAAATATTCAAATAGACAGTTATGTAGATAACACTATTAGAAACGATGCTAAATCATATTCATGCGTCTACCATTATTCACGCGACACCCTTAATCAGATTGTTTTATATTTTGGCAGGAACAAAAAATAAGTGAGGGAAATGTATCCCTCCTTCGCATGGGATATGAACCAAACATTCACCTTTCACCACAGTTTTTGACTCGATGGTATGAGTTTCAATAGCGTTTCGATTCGCTATTTTCATTTCCATTTTGTCTCCTCAGGAAACTTATGTTCAATTTCATGGCAGACCATCTCAGACACAATTTCCACTCTTGCTGACAAAACGCCATGATATGGGCATATGTTGGCTTTGTTGAAAATTAATCCCCTGACCTAAACACAAGTTAATTGGCACAAATTATTAAAACTAATATTTGGCTCGATGGCGGCTTTTAAAGCGGCGAACAGCGGCTTTCGATTTTCATTGAAGTGGTAACAGGCACTAAAAAATAATTCGTTGTGGGTTTTACTATACAAAATCTGATCATATGGATCGCGAAAATAATGAAATCTAAAGGAAAACGAACTTAAATTAATCTTGTTAGATCTTAGAATAACTCCGTGACTTAAGCGGGCAATAACCGAAACCTTAATTAAAACCCGCAGTGGATTTTCATTCTAGAACTTGGTATTGAAGTGAATTGGTTTTCTAGACTTAAAAAAGTTGACAATGCCTTTATAAAAATGGGTCGCTTCAAGTTCGAGAACGGTCATCGATCCAAAGCGAATATAAGAAAAGAGTCGCAAAACATCTGGAGCTGCCCACAGGATTTTTCTTTAACAGCACACCACATGGTTTACACAAAATACCCCCAATCTACAAAGGAACCAGACATCTTTCGAACAAACAAAGTGAAATAAGCTCATTGTGAATTCGATCTTTGGGGGAAGTCAAGAGTGATTTCCGTCGATCAAAGTGTCCACCAATCATCTACCAGTAAAGTTTATTGAAATTGTTATTTGCGTAACACCACATCAGACAACTATAGACGCGCCAATGCGTCTAGACATGCACGTGACAATATTTCAGCCAATAAGAATGGTTTTACTCTTTGCTGCACGTCGGCAAGTGTTACCGTTGTGCGCTATGGTTGTGAGACGAATTAGTTGATGTGAATCTGCCAGCTCTTTACATGCTGTCTAGACGTGTAAGTTTGCGACGTGATCAAGGAACTTAGATCTTCCTTTCGCATTTTAGGCCACGCAAATCTTTCAGATCGGCTGGATGTGATCGCCAAAAACAAATGTTCAGCTTATATGTTCAAGTTGTTGAGACTGGTGAACAAACTGTCCCTACTCGAGAGTTACTTCGTTCTCACAGCCCGCAAGGATTTTTCGCCTGAGGAAAGTGCCGAACTGAAGTCAATAACTCATTCCATCTTAAAGCGACTCAACGACAGCGAATTCACAGCTCTGCAAACGGCGCTGGAATCGAAAGGCGGCCTTCAGACGAGTTGTATTTTCTTTCCAACGCACGAAAGACTGGGCAAGCGCGTAGTTGTCGAACCGCAAGTTGTTTTGTACCGAGTATTTCGACTCCCGCAAGTTCGAAGCTCCTCGGAACTTAAGCGTAGTCCATGCTGCTCGACACGAAATGGCTTCGACAAGAAAGTGTGTATCAACCCTTTCCACTACAGTACAGTCGTGAACAGTGGTAGGTTTTAATCCATCAAATTCGAAATTTTGTTCGTAGCGACTCTTGTGGCACTGTTTGTGTACCAGATTTTATAACATTTTTAGCATCTCATTTGCATACGAGACAGATCTTTCTTTCTCGCTTTGTCGTTTCGCTGTTGTCGATCATTTCGTTCGTTTTTATTTCATAGGACCATCTAGTGGGATTTACACAGCCCTACCGAAAGCAATGGAGGTTAAAAACGACGAGTCTTCTGGTATGTGCTTTGGAAAGTTCGGTGTTAATAGAGTTTCGTGCGTGTATCCGTTCCAGACGTTCAACCCGTCGGTTTCGCTCACTGATTTTCCTTTTTACTTTGCAGGGTTTTTCAGTAACCATACTCAATCGACAACTTGCCCCATGGACAGCCAAACCTCGTACACGGAGTCTGCTCTGCGGAATATAGGTATAAAATTTTACATACCTTGCTGTGACCTTTGCGGTGTTGTGTCGAATATTTACTCTTTCTTTCGATCGAATGTGAAGCCTCTACTATCAAACTGTTTCACGAGTTGTGAGTGAGTAACCCACTCCATCAGAGTGTCAATTATTTATGGAGTTCATCTTTTTTAGGCTCTTTTACAAGGCGATCTCGTGTTTGAACGCGAATTAACTTAATTTTTGGATGCAATTGCAGGGGCAGATTACTGCAATGCGACGGATAAAAGTTGGTCTAGGCCGTGGTGTTCGATCGCTTATTGGGAACAAAGTGAAAGAATTGGACCGTCGTTTGAAGGGACTGCTGATGTTATCAACGTATTCGAAAGTCTACCCGAGCCCAGTGGGTTCTGTTTAGCTGCACTCGATCGGCGAAGTGATGTACCTGAGCGAACTAAAAGAGTGCGAGAACAGATCGGTTATGGACTACAGTTGACACGCGAAGTTGATGGAGTTTGGATTTATAATCGAAGTGATTGTTCGCTATTTGCAAATGGTCCAACACTGACTTACTCGAACGAAAGCATGGCTGGCGGAAAAGTTAGACATAATATTCTGGTGCATAAAATTCCACCCGGATATTCGCTCAAGGTGTACGATTATAAATTAAGCCCACAAGTATGCCGGGCAGTGGACAGCGCTGGAGTGAGGTGTTATCACCCCGAGACAGTGCGAGTAAGTTTTAAGAAAGGTTGGGGAGTTACATCAACTTCTGAATACCGTCAACCACTCGTAACATGTTGTCCGTGTTGGATCGAGGTACATCTGTCGGTTGCGCGGTAACACGCGTGTACGAGCGAGACCAAGATAAGATCCATGTAAAAGGCGATTTGTTTATGTGGCGGCTTCCTTTCGATCGGATCGTCTAGCATTTCACAGAGTTATAGAAACATGAGTATGATACCTTCATAGAGTATATTATGTATATTGTATATAGAATATTGACTGGCCGAAAATATAATTTAAGGACCTAGTCCGTGAACGAGCTAAATTTGGACAGCGATGAAGTAGACATGTCTCCATAGGAGAGAAACAGATTCTCTAATTGTACAGCGTATTGTTGTTTAATGTTGTTACGCGAGTGAAAAAACACACTAAGAATGAATATATTATATTTTCAATCACGGCTCTTGTTGTGATTAAGTTTCCTTGAAAAACGAAAGTATTTCGGCAGCTTCGGTGTAGGTGTTGAGTGCATTTTGCGCCCTGAAATTGCTCTGATGTCATTCAACCCTAATCCGTCGCATGCGGTTGACCAGACATTCGAACAGACCTTCCGTTTCATTTGTCTAAAGAATAGCCTTGTTTCGGTATTACTCTGTAATTCTTTGCTACGAATGCAATATGCTGTTCTTAAAACCTGTTTATGGGTTAAATGAAGCGCTGAAAATCTTTCAGACAGGTAGCTTATCATAAAGATTAATGTTTAGTACTATCTTTTGACACAACTAAGCTATATATTCATAGTTATCGGGCCGAAACCACTTTGTATACATTACGCGTGATAATTCATTCGATGTTGACTGAGTAAAACCTATTTATGGTGAAAGACTTGAAGCAGGCACGCGCGCGACCAATGTGATGTCTCGTCGCCTCGGGGCAATGAACAAATCTAATATTTTCTGCACTATCCGAGTTATTCGCGCTCCATAAACCTCGCTAATCTTTTGACGTGATATTGAGCTCTCTTTGGCTAATGGAGCACAAGAAAGCATGCACGTGTTTTGCGCTCTCTTCTTCAGAATGTGCGCCGCTTTCATGTCAGATATATGATCCAAAGTCGGCGCACAGACTGAAATTTCGAAAGATCACTCATCGGGCAACAGAATTGTAACAGCTCAGAGCGCGTAATATGCTAATGTGGAATTGTTTTGCACATTGATATGTCTGCAACCCCCGATTGTATGCATGAAAATACGAATATAACGCCGATGTTTGCACGCACTTTCTATCGACACTTAAAACAATTTCTCAGTTTTTGTGATCTGTTGTTAGGTGATGTCGGGATTGCATGCAAATGAGGTTTTCAAGGTGGCTTTCCTTAGACATGGGCGGCGTTGTGGGAGAATAATTTTCAGACATCACAAAATTAGATCCATGATGTAGATATTGAAAGAGAAAGGAAGACTTGGCAGCTGTTGTTTGCTTCTCAGGAAAGCAACGGGGTTGATTCTTCGGTGTGAAAAATTTTATACGACAACATTTTAAAGACTTCACACGTAGCTTTTCAACTCTGGCCTCCAAAACGGAACTGAACTGTCCTCAAGACCATCTGCTTATTGACGTACCAAATAAACCTGACTAAAAAAAACTGTTATATGTAATTAAGAGTGTCTCGAAGCTTTCTTTTGGTTGAGTTTTAATTTCTTAAGGCTTGATTTCAGAGAATTATTCACTCCTTTAATCCAAAGCTCAATGAATTCATTCAGAAATTGCATGGTGGTGAGAAAATGTCTCAAAAAAGCAATAATTTAATCACCTAGTGTGATGAAAAAAGTAAGCAGCGAGAACGTTTGATAAACTTTGTCTCAAAACAAACCCGAGGCTAAGGAACACCTTCGGCGAAATTTCTCATAGAATTATCTGATCAAAGGCATGATTAAGAAAAATCCAATGTTAAATTTCATGTTTTGGTTGTAATATACGACAAATAAATTTGAACGGAAGTCACTTAGGATAATTTAAATACGCCCCAGACATTACATAATGTACAAATTTGGAAAAAATGTTGCGTGTTGATAATGAAATGCCTTCGAGAAAGCTGAAATGTTGGTTTCACCGCTCAAGGAAATTTGACTATAAGATATAATCCTGTGAAACCGTTTTCGAGACGAAATAATAAACGTTTTCATTGAATGGAACATCAGAGGGGTCTAACTGCCGTCTTCCTGTGTCTCTCATTGTACAGACAATGGAAGCTTTCAAGTGTGTCGGGATCCATGTTTACGGTCAAATTTGGAACACATCGGTTACACACGCGCTGAACAGAGAGAGCTGAAGTTTTTTTCCTTTCAAAGACAGTATTGAAATTGTTCTGTAGGCGCCCCGCAATCGCGTTTTGAACTCAGTGGGGGACGTTTCACTCCGAACATAGACAAAAAAGTTAATTGTTAGAACAGGTAGAGTTTTCGGCTAATTTTAATTTTTTTTCAGTTTCAAAGGTTTTAACAGACTGAAGAGTTAAAAAAATTCAGACTTCAATTTCAGCATAGGGTCAGTCTCAGGGTGCTTACAATACCTGGTCTATTCTTATTCAAATTACGAACAGCTGAGTCTAGTCATTCAAAAAAAAAATCTTGACAATTTGCCACATGCCTGTAAGCACGCCTCGAAACAAAACGGAATGAAACAAACAAAAAAACCGAAATAAAGGGTGACAATTTTAGGTTACCCCTGGAAAACCTTTCAGTTTGAGAAACAACTTATACTTGGCATGAACAAAAGGAGGGAGCGCTAAGAGAGACTAGATTTCGATACCGTGTTTTTTTGACATGATCCGACAGCGATTAGTTTGTATTTATTCCTACGCAACCTAACTACTGTCTGGGTATTTTAACATAGAGGACCATTAACTGCACTGGCAAAAACTGCTGCTATTAGCGTAGCGTATGACCCTACACCATATGACAAGTTTTCTCTACTCCACCAACCAGTGACCAATGTCTCTCTCAAAATTAATTTTTGTACATAATTTTCGAAATTAAAATACGACTGAAAGAAAAGAAGAAAATAAAAGGCCCGTCATTCTTGCCACATCCGCAACGGATCTGTATCCTCGAAAGTGTCGCCGCTAAATCATTAAACTTACAAAAACTCCTAGTTTGCCATAATCTACGCTAACGGAGGTGCCGCTCGTCTTATTGAAGTTTACAGCCATTTTTAATATTCTTCTTTATTTTTCTATTCTCTTTCATAGCATCTCTAACTATACGACACCTGCAGTGCATGATTACATGCTATCAAGAATAGCATCGACGCTGTTTGGTAATTGCATTTAAAAATATAATTGCCCCATCGGTACTTTTAAAAGAAACTTTAGATTAAGGCCGAATAATCCCAACAAATTGTATGGTTTCCCGTCGTACTTAATTGCATGACCGTTAGAGGGCTAGGAGATGTTTCTTTGCGCTGTTTTCAAGGCATAATGATATTAGAAACGTCTTAAAAACAAGGCGAGCACCAGTTTTGCAGGTAACTGTTTAAACAAAGTTGGTCCTCTCGGCCGTGTGAAAGAAATATTCCGGCGAGAAGAAGACCGTATTGTTGTCGATAGTTAAAAAAAAAAAAAAAAAAAAGGAGTCCAACTGTTTATTCAACGACAACAAACAATCAACAAAGCATAATCCTTAAAGGCCAAGGATTCGAAAAATATCGCCTACCCCGTTATTTTTCTTTCCTTTCATTGCGGCGAATTTCAATAGTCGTTGATCAACAAGAAGAAGTGTCCCAGTAAAGCTTGCGCTGATACATAACACGAAAACAATTTCGTATCCTGGCATGAGCTGACCAATATGTCACCGTGTACAGAAAACGGCTTTCGCACTTAATGCGTATGAATGGGCGTGTCTGTCATGGAGTCCCTTACTAGTCAACTGTTTTATTCAATCAAAATCGGCCGTGCTCGAGACATGTTTGTGATATTTTTTTCGTAGGAACTTTTTGCGCTCACGCTGACCTTGTCAGCCTTAAAAAAATTATGACACTTGTTGAAAAGAAACTGTAAAAAAAAGGATCCTTGTCAATATCTCTCTAATGATGTTAGATCGGCCGAGGGTCAGTCTTTATTACTCGTCTCGGAATGTTAGTTGTCTCCGGTTTGCGAAAGGATTATCACGAAAGATGGCTCTCTGAGGACAGGTACCGCTCATGTTTGACGGCAGATTATAATACTTATGACGGACATCTAAAAAATATTGCGCAAAAGGGTCAAGTTATGAGACATTTTTATTTAAGGGCGGAAATTCTGAACTTAGGATTTCGCTGAAGTACTGCACGATGTTGCGTTAATCCCGTTGGCCAATTTGAATTGAATTCATAAAGTTATTGATATCGATTGTCAGATATTATCATTGTGCAAGGAAGTTGAAAGTTGGAAGTTGAAAGCTTAAGAGCTGCCTGAGAGTGTCTGAATATTACTAACGCTGTCCACGTATAACAAACCTGGAATTTTGTGTGGATCACGGCCCGATAATGAAAGGCAGTTGCGTCAGTACCATCAATAGTTTAAATATCTGTTTAATTATGTCACTTCATGTCTGTCTTCAACTATCATTCCGTTCTGTAAACGGAAAATTGTTGCTCATGCCTACATTTTCTCTTACATCTCGCCATTTTCTGTCTGAGAGATATTTCAGTCTAGAGGCGCATATTGATCAGACAGATCAGTGATTGATGGCTTTCACTAGTTACGTAAAACAAAAACATAGGCAGAAGGTCTTAAGCGCCATGGGATCAGCGTGCACGCAAGAATACATCTGGCTTCGGTGATTGCTGAGAGAATGGTTTCACAATCCAATCTCCGATCCTTGTCACAGAAACAATTGACCTTAGTGCAACTTAGTTTAGGCAACAGTTAGGTACGGAATGTTACAAGGGACGATTTCAGACACAACATTTTAAGTTTTGGCTGCTATAGCTGCAACATATCGCCATAAAAAATTTTTGCGTTGGAAACAGTCTGAGCGCCAAGATTAAGGATTATATTTTTCATTTATTAACATGATGTTTCATTCAAAAATCGGCGATGAAAAAATCAGCTCTTACCGGTAACATTTCGGACTTATTCATCATGATAGAACGGTAAAACCCAAAAGCAGTCTTTAACAGTGTAGCTCTAAATTATGAAGAGGTGCAGTTGCCTTTAAGGAACATTGGGGGCCAGAACTCAGAAGCTTCGACGAAGGTTTGATTGTCAAAACTTCTTTCGTGTTCATTCGAATCGTTGATCGAAGACACTATTCTCCAGCCCCAGCGCTGACGACACAACTTTCCGTTTTGAAATTAATTAGTGCAGAACACGGCTTTATCGTTTATCCGTATTTGCAGCTGCACAAAGTTAAATGTAGTACATTTAAAAAATTGGAACATTTTATACAGAGAGCAGAGGGGATGGGGACAAAAATGTGACTGACTTGTCAAACTTGCCAGTTCTTGCCAGTGCTTTCAAACTGAAAGTACATACATGCCTTGTAACAATTCAATGAATTTTTTTGTCCAGAATGTCTTCTTCTGGCACACCTTTCATTTTAAACTCATTAACTGATCTTTTGTTGCTACCCACCTATTAAGAAAGCTGGTGAGCTTAATAGGATCATGCGCAGTCAATATAAACGGGCTGGACACTTCAATACTCTTAGCTGGATATAATACAGGAAATAGTCTGTGAATATGCCGGTCGATTCAACTCGAAACACTTCAAAGAGCCTCCCTCGAGACCAAGGAACAATAAAACATTTACCGTGGGGGACTCTCAGTGACATACAATGAATATGTGTAATTTCAGAGAGTGCAAAAACACACTGAAGTCTCTGAACTATTTTCCAACAGTAAAACTTAAATTGAGAACAGCAGTTTTAAAAAAGGCCGGCCATTTCCTATGGGCCCTTCAAACTAGGCGGTCTTTCATTTGAAAATAAGAATCAAGTGGAACTTGGAAACATGAGTTGATCCAATAACGTGACGAAATCTAGAGAGCTTATACAAACTATAATCGACAAACGTTTAGGAAGTTATTCGAAACAGCTGCATCGACCTTGGGGCAGTTAAGGTCCGTGGGAGAGCTTGGGTGCTTGGCGGCAATAAAAAGGAAAGAATTCAGAGGAAAAAAGCAAGCATAGAGTTTAAAATTCCCTTGCTGTCTCGTAGATAGGCGTACGAAGGCCATCAATGAAAGTATCTTTTCGATCCCGTCTCGAAATAATATATCAAAATGAAAAAGTCGTGCAAAATGAAAACTCCTGTAAATTGATCACGATCTCAACCACGAGATTGGTCGGCAAATGACTTTACTGTTCCCCCCATTTCATAAGATCATACAATAAATACAAAGCTAATACTAAATCATGAATTAGCAACTTAGTATAAACCATGATTGCAAAAATGAACAGGCTGCAGTCAAACCAAATTCCCACCGCGCGTAGTAGAAGAAGCAAATTGATCACGCTTAGGTAAACATCTGTTTTAACGGAGTAAATAGCTCAGCTGTGGATTAGTTTATTTATATCCAGGATTTCTTGCGATTAGTCTATAATTACTGCGAGCTCAAAGAACGTCCCTGTCGGATTCGTGAAAAAATGCAGTTTGTTTCACGTTTCAATCACTTTATCGTGCCAGTTTGCCGGCATAAAGCATAAAGTCAAAACCGAGTCCTTAAACTGAACAACGAACCCATAAAATTGAGATGTCAGGGTGCTGAGAATTCCTGACGTTAATGAACCACGGCTGGTACAAAAATCGCTGTAATACCGCCGCACTCAGGTAGAACTGAACCCTTTCACTAATCAACACTGTTCACTCTGAAGGAAATATATCATTGGAATTTTCTTAATTTTGGCTGGCTCGGTAAAACAGAATGCAGACAACTAAATAGATATTTCTCAGCTATGTGATTGTAAAAAGTATAAGCTTAATTAATTAAAATACAGCTGGCTAAAACAACAACAGAAACCCCATTATATTTTTAACGTTTAATGGTATATAGCATATAAAGAAATACATATCAAAGTGCTGTTTCACTGATAATTGTGCTCGCACCTTTAAGAGCGATGTGGAACAAAATATATTACGAGGTTAAGATGATTTGAGAACAGTTAAACTTAACAAATCTGACTTTACTTCGCGAAGTAAGCCTGATAAAAGGTTCTGAACAACCGCAATGCCGCATTTTCTAGCTGAGAGGGCTATTCAGTCGAGTGTCACGAAACCACAAACAAAGTAGTAAATTCAGCCCGTCAGAACAAAAGAAAAACATCAGCTTAACCAATCAAAATTTAAATTAAAATAAAAAAATTAGCTTAGGGTTGAAGAGCAGAAAACACGAGTCACCAATGCAGTCTGGGATTACTTTCGACACTCAATTGACTATCGCTTGTCAATGCACCATCGCCATACAAACGAACAAACACCGCGGTGAAGAAATGTCGATATACTAAAATGCGTATTAAAATTGTCAAGAGGAGTGAAAAAGCATTGTCAAGCACAGCACTTTCCAAAACTGTTATAAAATGTTACAAAAAAAATCGTAAATATTTGGAGAAAAGCATACGACTGCAAAACAACCTCTCCAAATCTAATCCTAAAATTTTGAAGTATTCTTCTTCAAACAATGTTTCTTGATCAAGACCAAGGAAGGTAAACAAATACTGACACCAATTTCTTTAAATTCCCTTGCAACAGCTGATATACATATTTATTTCCCAGATTTAATTTAGTTATCATTATTAAACTATGTTAAATATATCGTATTATATTTCCCATCTGCATATGAAACTGTGCTATGAAAATTTATCTATAACTGTTTATATATAAATTAGGATCCAAACAACCTGTGTCGGATCATACCCCCTTAAATGATTAGATTGTTAAAATTATCATAATTTGCTCGTTAATTGCTCGTCAGCTGTCTGTTGGGCTGTAAGAAATCTTACAAGGCTTTCACTAAACGCGAAGAGTATTTCTTGTTACAATAACTTCTCTACTCGAATAACAAAAGGACTGACATATCGACCTCTAAAAGAAGCCTCTCTCATTTCAAAGAAAATATGCGTATGTCTAAATTACATAGTTGTACAAAATGCCGCCTTTGCAGCCACTTTGAAGAGCTAAGTCCAAATATTTAATCTACCTCTTACGCTGTGCAAAGCAACTTTTACCACGATGGAAACTGCGAATTAAAATTTCAGTTCGGAAAAATATATAAACACAAAAGGGGTGATGAGATATCAAGAAATAAAAAGGATTGCAAAAGATGGAGAAGATTAAGACAGATTGCGAACTTGAAATACTGAAGCCAAAATTTTTAACAGGCAGGGACCACGACATTGGCCTTAAATCTCTTAAGCGATCCCACTTGGCTTTTCAAGTAAACAAAATTTCCACTGAAATATTCCATGAATTGGATATATAAGAGATTTGTCTGCAATATTTCCCAGACTAATACATCTTTAATTCCCTTTAATCTTGTAATTTCTGAGGATTTGCAGTTAATCTCGGTGTGAATTGACTTCCTTGTATCATTCCTTGCTTCATTTACGTTCCTAATTCGATTATAACTCAATTTTTTCTCCATCTCTACTTTAGAGCATACATCCTTAATAGGATAACTAGGATGTTTGAGATATTGAAACGCTCAGAAACCTTCCGAGGTTAAGTGAAATTCGGCGCAAGCTTTCGTCTGCTAACTAGAGGATTTCAACATACTTCTCAGATTATTCCAGTTTCTGTTTTCGTTCCACACTATCGCAATTCGCATGAGGGCGTTACTGCTGTAACTTGACGCTTTAACCGAAATCTGCACGACCACATCAAACAAACACGAGCAAGCTTGAGGAAAATGCCTATAAGTTCGTAACTCACTATCTAAACACTCCTATCTCTATGCCGAATGGAAAATAAGTTTCTGTACTTAATTTAAAATGGATCCACAGACACAGAGCATAACCAAATTTCCTGAGCTCCACAGTCGCGAGACGTAAACAAAATATTGATTAGACACTCTAATCTCATCAATGTGTGTAGTCAATTGTTGGTTCACCATCGATTTGCGCTCAACGAGCACGTACGCTTTCAAAACACTCATTAAGAGGATACGTTTGGGATCAAAGGTGGCATAAAAGTTACAATTTTTTGTGCACTAACATATTTTCCCCGTTTTCAAAAATCAACAGGGCCAACTAGATTTGGACCCTTGAAAATGATGCTCAAGAACGAACGTGTCAAAATATTTTACGACATCAGTGGGACAAAGCTGCATTATTGGATAAAAATAGGATGCTTCTAATGTTACATCTCTACTGCACAAGTCCACTGTCTATCGAAACCTTTGATACATCCTGCAACATCCCGGATACGTTCCCGCCGCACCATATTTGGAGTTGCTCTCTAGGATCCAGACTCGTCAGAATCAGGATGGAAGAGTTGAATGTGATCTGGGTTCCAGTAAAGTGTAGATGATTTGTAAACTAAGGACCAGACATATGGGATGAAAAACTCCTCTGGTTGTTCTTCCTCCACGTATTTGAACTTAAGCTCAGGAAATTTCTTCAGAAAGCAGGAGTTTGAAAAAAAATTAAAAAACCAATTACTACTTCACCAATGACGCTGCATTTTGTTTAAAAAGAGAAATGACAGCTTTTTTAGTGCCTCAATGACAGCCTTGAAAGTGCAGGAGCGGCATCAGTAAGTTTAGCAGAATATTGATTACTGTCTAAGTAAGGACGATAGGGTAACAACCGTTATCAACGTTATTATCTTAAAGAAAGGAGATCAGTCTCAATAGATCCAAACTTGTGGTAGTGAAGTGCAGGGGTTCTTACACAAGGTGCTCTCTGGGCTTGTCTGAATGCAAAGCTAGCACGGAAAAAGAATGTTGTTGGAATGAAAGTGTACGTCACACGTACATCATCATAAGTACTCTCGTTACCTTGAGTCTATCTCTAGGCCACTGAAGTGTTCCTTGTTTAATGACATCGAGCACCACTCCAACAGACAGCGTCTGCTCTGGGTGCTGCTCCAGGCGGGCACTGAAGAATGCCAACACCTAAAAAAAAATACGCATTAGTCATCTCATTTTGAACAATCGATAAGAATCACTGATAACCCTTTTAAGTGATTAGCAACAACCGCCATATAGGAGGTCATTGTGCCCAAAATAACTCAACAGAGAGAAAAATAAAGCTGTTTGTAGGCTACACGATTTCCTTCTCAATAGATAAAACAAAGAGTCACGCCTAAACTGTTTTATAGCTCTCACTACAGGGTGTGGTAGCTGATTGTGGTCTCCAACCACAGTTCAAAATCTGACACACACGTCGAAGGAATCGAAACTACCAATTGAAATTAAGGTTTAAATTTGAAGATTCCATTTCGGTGCATATTGTACCATCTCTAAAAAATTCTACGCTTTCTTGAAACTGCTAAACTCTTAAGATGTGATGAATAATTCTCCTTTCAGATTGTTACACAATCTATAGAGAATTCATTGGGAGAATTTGGCATTGTATCTATTCACCTGTTGGTATTGATATAACGAGAAGAAGTTATGTATCACTCGCATCTCACCTGCTCACAGTTAGAGGGTTACATAAAGGATTCACTCACCGTGTCTATATTCTGTATAATATCTTGGAAGGTTGGGTGCGTCCTAAACTGAGCGAATAGTTCTCTTCTGTGGAGTAAGGTGTACACCAGGTTTGGATTATGATGAAGTGTGTTGGTAACACACGAATTGATGATTTCCAACACCATACGGATCACTTCTTCAAGAATTGCAAGGTCTGCCAGCTGGGGAAGGAAATTGGACACAAATCATAAGAGAGGTTCGGGAAGGCGAGAGGAGTACAGCTGTATCTCGGTTACTGCATATACTACAAAGTGCGTAACAACAAATGTCGTAAAAAAACAATACCGAAGTAGTCACAAACGCTAATCAAAACAAAGGAACCGACGATTACTCAGAGCAAATAAATGTGAAAGATCTTTCACAGGCGTGCCAATAAAAACCAGTGACCAGTGGACCGCCGTGTACAAGACCTCTTACTGTCTTCTGTTTAGCCTGCCCCAAGACATCCCCAAGGGAAGGAGCCTTTTCCGGGCAAAGCCGCCTTTCCGCAGACAATTATGAAAAAGGTTAATGAAACCCTTGCTTTAAGACGCGACTAAACCAGTCACAAATGGTATTACTTAATGCTGTCTTGTTGTAAATCTGACGAGATTTTTCAAGGCCAATCTTGAAGCGAAGTAATGCAAACCAAGGTAATGAAGACTACCTTCGACGATCAACTGAAAATATCTCTGAACTTTGTCACTGAATTGTTCTTGAATTTGTTTTTCTCGTAGCAGTAGGCCGCTCGTTAGAATCACCGACACCCCACTTCTAAGTCAAACAGTTAACCCTTAAAGTAAAACCAAATGTGTTTCATTTTTTATGTAGAATTCTGTTTGGTTCTACAGATACAGGTTAAGGGCCAGTCTTTTTTTTTCATTTAAAAAAACCAGAAACTTATTAATTAGTAGAAGACAGACACAAGTACCCCACGCACTTAAGAAAGACCGTCTATTTCGTAGCTAAATGTAATTGATTTAATTTTTGCGTCTAAGATATCTTGATTGAGCTGCCAAACGCAGTAGGAGGGTCATAAATCTTAATCTGCTTTCCATCTCACAGGCTTTGGGTGATAACCTGTCTCCTTTTTTCCGCAAATATTTTCTAGAAGAGAATATTTGCACGTTTCTGATGAAGCCGGCGCAGCAGGAAGTGTGAGATAAATGTTGGTGTCATACGTGTGGATAAGTAAGTTTTTCTCTTATTCTCTCTGCGGTTTATTTAATTTTATTATGGCCTTAGGGCCATATGGCTTTTACTCCAAAACTCCCTCCAGTTGCGCGGGCTATTTTCAGTACTGCGGAACACTTCTTCCGAAAAAAAAAATCAAGCAAAATAGAACACAAACAAACGAACAAAGTAAAGCACAATCATATAAAGAGAATGCGATATTTGAAAATCTGATCTAAGTTTCCAATGTAAGTGAGACTAACTTAACATTTTGTGTTCATCGCCGTCGTGCAAACGAATATAACACTGAAGTCCAAGCTTGGCTTCCTCGTTTTCTGTAGCCCGTTTTATTACTGAGAGAGTTAAGCAGTAGGGCGAGGTTGATTAAAAAAAATTGTTATTCCGTCCTACACAGCCGGAGTTTCTGTCTTTACACCGATCACGGCAATCATTGAAAATCACCCATAATTCGCGGTGGAGTATCAAATGGCGGATTTTGCCGATCGCTTCGATCAGAGTATTTAAAGTCTTTAGTGTGCAGTGTGTCGAACATCAGCGATTAGAACCACCGACATTTAACATTTATCTACAAGACAAAAATCCGAGATACTCACGTGGTCGCTGTTGTGAGCTTCGTTTGCATTTTGCTGTTGGTTGCCACTTTCAGCTTGTTTCAGCAGCTCTGTCACCTTAGCGTGCTTCTTTGACAGTAGAGCGTACAAACTAGAGTTGAAAAAACAAAAAAATCAAATGATCAACAGAGACAGATCAGAAGGAACCCTATTAAATTCGTTGATAGCTTTCTTGTTAAAAGGCGACCACTTTAGAAAGCCTTTTGGATCCGAAACTCTCCAAAGTCAAGGTTACCCCCATGGAAGGAAGAGGAGTATGAAATCACAACTGATGAGGTGATCGCCCAAATGACAGTGAAGAAACCAAGAGTGTAAATATCCATCGGGATTGATCTAAGAACAATCAAGGACAATTTGAGCAGCTCCGTCACAAATTTCGCTTTGTTTCTTGCGCCGTAAAAAAAACCCTTGTCAAATTGGAGCATCCGATACGATACATTCAAATGGGAGGCTACTTAAATATCAAAGAAGAGGAAAAGAGAGAAAGAACGTGATGTTTAGGGTTGGGGATTGATGATCAACACAGATTCTGAATGAAAACCTTTGAACAAATTTCGGCTAATTCTTTAGAATGTCGAAAAAAAATTTGGGGGCTGGTTTTCTCCTTTTAATGATCCACATTTTATGCTCTTGTAGATGAAAGAATCCCGCAAAAGTTAACTACCCACAATCAACAGAAAACTTCGTATGCATATCAAGTGTCGATTCGCAATCGGACTCACTCTACTATGCAGTTTTTTTCGGTATAAAATGACAAGGAAGAATATTTGAAAATATTGCTTTTCTCTTCTTGTTAATGTTCTGCCTCTAAATGCAAAATCAAAAGAACTAGCTCTCAGCAGAATTTCATTCATCTTAAACCACAAAAGGCGTGCTCCAGCGGTAAACGAAAATTCTTTTAATCCGCAAAACCGGGCCTACTGAAGTAAAATTATCATGCTGTACAGTCGCACGTTAGAAACTTTACTTTCGTAATTAGCGGCTTAGTAGGTCGCTAAAAATCGCTTGGGACGATATAATTCAAATTAAGATCCTTACAGCCTAAAAAAGGTCAAACTCTGCTATAAATCATTTCGATTGTGTCGGACATGTGGAAGGAGCTTACTGTGTTACAACCTGTCGTTCAATCAGCAGCATTGCTAAAAAAAAATGGCCACATGATAAGTGATGAAAGTTAAAGTCTCATTTTAGTATTACATGTAAAACACGCCTTATAATTGCGGTTTGTGACTATTTGTATTCACGACCTTAAATGCACCGTCTAAGGAGCTGTCTAAGCGGTACGACGTTTTACAGACGACATGCTCTGACAAAAAAAGGTCATTGTAGCGATCTATCGAAACAAGTAAAAATAACAATAATAATTATAATAATAACGATGGGCAGTAACGGTGGACATTCCACGAGGTGGATCTTCCGTTCATTGTTTTCAAGTCGAATTGGAATTTCGAATATTTTTCATGTTTTGTGGGAGAGAGGCTTTACGACGGAGTTTTGTAAAAGCAGGGGTTTCAGTACCATTTCCCATCAGCATCCGCCGATGTTGTAATGGGCGGCCGTGGTTTCAGGCGAAACCCAATCACGACAGCTGGCTTGCATGTTCAACAGACAACACAACAAGGTTTTAAAGGTGGCGGCAGACCGTCGTTCACCGGCTGTGTGAGCACAACTGCTGATGAGGGGAACGAAAATACTGAAAGGAACCAGAGAGAACTGAGAGCAAACCCGAGGATACTGGTTGAAGTTGAACAGAAAGGAACCTGAACAACAACTGTTTGGTTAAGTCTAAGCGAGTATTTTTTTTGGAACAGTCACAAAGCGTACCGAAATGACTTTAGTCTGTTTTGAACGTGTATTGAACGGCGCGCGATGGTTGTTCAAAGCGGGAAAAAGGAGAGAAGATTTGGAAAGGTCCTCACTTTTTCGTTCTGCGCTTCTTTATTGCGTCCAGTTTACTAACACTACTTCTGGAGGGGTTTTTTTAAATTTTTTTATCGACCCTTTATTTTAAAAATTACTCTATAAATGTGGGTATAAAAACCATTACCTGACAATTCTTTGTGTAACATATGGGTGAAGCGCGTGGAACTGTGACGACATATTGGCTAGTGTAGCCAGGCAGTTAGTATGCAGATATTTGTCCTGGAGTAAATATAAACTGTTTTAGTTTGCAAATATATCAGTGCCCGATGAATTGATTCTCACAAGTGAACTGCGATTATATAACAAAAATTTGGGAAAGAAAAACCCTCTAACTTTAAATTGCCCCAGTTCCAACGTGTGGCCTCGTAGCGCAGTTGTTAGTAGCGCCCAGTTAGTATCTGGGAGCCATGGGTTTTCTGCAATTACTTAAATGGTCGCTCAACTGCGAGAATCATAACTTTACTTGAGAAAAATTGCAGAAACTAATTAAAAGTACTTCTAAATAAAAATGACGGTTTAACGGAGCTCCAACCGTTCATTTAAGATGATAGTTAAGTAGTTTTCCTGGAACCTAGGATCAGTACATAAGTTTTCACATTAAAAAAAAAGTTTATCTTTGCTTAATTCATAGGAATGTATTGTGTATTTGTACAATTGTCAAACAAAAATTTTGGTTATTTCTTGATTGTCAAATTGCCTCACGATGATGATGATATCTACAGTTAATACTCACCCTCATTTTGGTCATGTTATATTGTATCGTTCTGAGCACAACTAACACTAGTAGACCCCCCAGGGTAATATTTGTAATAACTCGTTCTGTATACCACGGTATTGTGGGAATAACCTGCAAGAAAACCCAGAAAATAAAACATCTAGTACTTGCTGGTCAAGCGGCAGCCAATTAATAAATAATTAAAGTGAAAATTTTTAAGATAAACCTTACACACAAAGACGGAACAATCATCATCATACATCCTCAGTCCTAAACACAGTTTGGCGACACAAAGCCGTTTACGCCAAATAAATTATACATTTTTGTCGTTTGATCTTGATTTTGAGGTTTTCGTCTTTCCGAGCAAACAATTATTTTCAGTATATCTGTTCCATTTAAACTAACAGTTTCCTTCTCCTAAAATTGCACAAAACATCGCGATACTGTTCGTTTAAGGCTGAAGTTAGAATACTCAGGAATGACTCGAAGTTTACAAAATCCCCGTGTGAGAAGAAAAAAATATCTCAAAGTGCAAATCTTACCAGCTCATGAACTGACTTGTTGAAGTTTTCGTCCTGGCTCAGAATTAACAGGATAATAAGTGACATATAAATATGATGTGCATTGTGATTATCAGCGTTATAAAGTAATTTTAGAATCGGCATCACCTGGAAAGACAGAAAGAAACAAATAAAAAGACCAGCAGCTGAAAAGCTAAAGGCATTTTATATATCAAGTTCACATTCATTATTGCATGTGTACTGTATTCAGTGGCCTGATGGGTTCTGCTTTAGAAGTAGGATCACTAAGTCCACGTTCGAGCCTCAAGCAGGTCATGAAGTGGATTCGTTAAAACCCGGTTACTGGCAGTCCACTGCTGCCTATTAAACCTCATACTGACTACCTTCTGTTTAGCATGTAAACAGGGTTTTGTGTTTAGGTCTTGCCTTTCGACCCCTTTCCGGGCACAGCCGTCTATTACAACATCGGCAGCCGCTTATGGCAAGAGTTATCAATAACCGCTGTCGTTGCACTGCGTTGTTGGACAAAACACTTGACTTTCGCTGTGCCTCTCCACCAAGAAGCATATATGGGTACAAATTACTTCTCAGGCAGGGGGGGAAAACCTAAAATGGACTTAACCATGCAAGAGAAGGAAAAATGCTCTTTGTAGCTTCGTACTATAAAAAAGTGAACATGCCCCACTAGTATAAGGCACCATGGATACGAATTTGTTCTGAGTTTGACTTTTGGTAGTAGGTACTTTGAGTATACTTCTTCAAGAGAGTTTTACAAGGGTGTGACATTTGCAAATAAAATTGGGACTTGCTCACAAATACAAAAATATAGCCCTTACCAAGTTATCAATATCTGTCCTTGACAGGATAAAAGATGCCACACTGGAATTGCGATGCAGTAATAAATACAACAGAAGTGTTGTTTGATCTTTATGTAGATCTCTGTTGGTAACCAACAACATCCATCAACAATTACCTTTAAGTCTCGGACATAATGAATGACCATAGTAGAATATGATTCAGAAAAGGCCTTGCTACAGCCATGATCATTATCTAACACAATAACTGAATGACTGCAACAATCATTCAGTGCACCTACATTACATATAAGTACACAAGTAGCAAAACAGTGAAGTATTATTCTTTTCAGTCTCCTCTGTAATAAGGTCCTTAAACAAGTTTTCACGTCTTAAAGTAGAACTGCCAGATTGAGTACATCAAAGGTGTTACCAGTACTTAATAATATTTTTTTGCAGAAACATCTCAGCGAGACAGAGTCTTCATCTGATCGGCTAATCATGCCCTAATAACAGGCCAGCTTTGACAACACAGGCCAGAGTCTGACATTGTTTTTCTGTGCCATTTGGAGCAAGGTGGAAAAAGGAAACCAAAGTCAAGAAAACAAAATGAAGGTATCTATTGTTCTAGGTTAATCCTAAGTGAAAAAATGCAAGACTTAGACACAGTTTTTTACCCAAACCTAGACCTTCTGCCAGATAAACAAAACACTAATGCCAACCTGCAGATTGCTGAGAACAGCATTCCAATGTGGAGCGTAAAGGGAGGATCACCCTCTTTATCCAAATTGTCTTGGTCCATCATGTTTTCTGTATAAAAATAGTATTGAATATGTGAAAGGAGGCATCCAAACATCTTATAGTACAATCTTCCAAGATTGTATGCATTTGTGTAAAAAAATCTTTCAGATTGAAAAATAAAAACCAATATACAAGAACAGTTACAGAAAAATTCCATTTTTAGAGCAATCTGGCTATTGTAAGTACATGTAGGAAGATTAAAAAATTTCAAATACCTTTGAGTTTCCTATTTGTGAAGCAAAACAGTGCATGTCTGTAAGGATTTATTTTTTTCTTGTCCTGCGTGCAGTGATTAACAAGAACAAGCAGCAACAATAAGCTCTGATTTGCCATAAGGGAGGAGTCACCTTCACTTGTGCCTTGAGAGCCAAACCATGACCATACACCAGCTAAAAAAAGTGAAAAAGAAAATGAGAGATGCCATTAATTCTACCACTGTCATGTTAATGGCAGTTTTAATGCAATAACAGGGTGGTCAGCATAATCTGAATACAAGGAATGTTGCCCATCCTTCAAGAACTCATCCCAGTTAAATATCAAGGTGTGTTGCTATTCTGAGGCCCTCCCTACATAGGATTCCTGTCCATTGCAGGTTCCACCTTCCCCCTCCCCCTCCCCCACCCTGACTTTTCATCATCCTCAGGCTTCCATGACAAGGTGAATAAACAAATATAAAGTAGTCTTTGATCAAACAATAAAAAAAAATTGTCAAACAACCAAGCTTAAACATGTGGGTAAATTTGAAAGAGCAATTCTATATACCACTAGTACCTCTTCAGTATTTGTGAAATACAATCTTTACTTTTTAATTTCCTCCTAATATTCACTTGTACACTGTAAAGTGCCATCAACCCTCAGTATACTGTACTTGTTCTATAAAGATCAAGGAAAATTCCTGGACAGCCAACAAATACTTACAAAACCAGCCTCCATTAGTAACTCTTGTAAGCTCTGCTGGCGTTTTCTCACTTTTGATGAAGTTCTTTAAAAGAACTCTGACAAGGTCATTTGCACTTGAATTGCTATATGTAATAGAAAATATCACATGCAGTCATGGATGCCTAATTTTTTGGAGTGGAATGCCAAAAGTACAACATGTATGTCTGGAGTAACTAATTTCATTCACAACCACTTACTAGACAAGACAAATGAATAATGGATAGCACAAGTAGTAGAGTTATATATAGTGTTATATAATGAACAAAGAGCATAACTGCTAATTAGGCATTTGATTGAAAACTATATAATTTCTATGAGTCATGTGAGTAGTTTTATATCAGAACCAAATATACATATAAGTAGGGCAGTTCAGTATTATAGCAGTTGATAACATAAATTGGCCACCGTAAAGAGTTTTAAAAGTGACATATTAAGTTGTTGCCCTTTGTCAAAACATATAGATATAAGTACTCTGACAGACATTGACATACAGTTTCCTATAAAGAAACAAAAACAAGCAAAATTTTCATATCCAAACAATCAATATAATTAGAAATACTTATTATGTTTTTCTTACCATTTTCCCTTCATGATAACCTGATAGAAGATACTACTGTGAGATGCACCAGAGTCAAACATCTGAACTGATAACATGACCAACAGAGTGTTTATAGCTTCAACATGAATGGGATATGTCACTTCACTGTTGAAACAAACAATGGAAAAAAAATCAACCTCTGGTCCCAGTAAAAGTCAGTTGCACTGTATGCTAGTACAGGTATCATGTAGCTTATGTATCGGGAAAAATAAGATGCAAGAAAAGAAAAGCTATAGAATATTGAGACTTAAGAATGTATGTTTAAATTGTTCAATAAAAAGCTAAGCAAGATGATTCCATAAGTTCATTTATCTATTAATAGATATACATTGTATTAGCAGAAGTTTGTCAACAATCATAAATCATTTTACTTCACGTAATCCTGATACCTGTGCATTACATATAGCAAAGAAGAATTGCTTAACAATAACCAAATAATTACTTTATACGTATCTAAACTTCTGTACTGACAATATCAGGTAAAAATGCTATTCAAGTCATAATAGAAAATTAATAAATTAAATTAACAAATTCAATAATTCTAAAATTAGAAAAAAAAATCTTATTTTATGATACCTGACAGGCACATTAACAATGACATCAATAAGACCACAAATAAGATCCTCTATAATTCCACAGTCTACAAAAGCAGACAATAAAAGATCATGAACATTAAATGAATACAATTCTATAACTGCATGCATGGCAGTTATTCACAGATGTGGGTGTCAGTTTTTATGTAGGCAAGGACAGTAGCAGTGCAACAAGTAATCATTGCATGTTTAATACTGATAATAAATTATAAAAATGGTACCAACTTTTATATATCAAGGTCAACAAAATAGTAATTATTATTCATTTTTTAATGTCCTGAAAGAATGGAAATTGACAAATAAACAGAGTATCTGAAATTAAGAAATATTTCAATCATTATGGTGAAATTATTTGTCAATTTTGGGAGCTAGCTTACATCTCATATTCTTATTGGGTTCCTTTTCACTGCAGTTTTTCAGAAGGTGGTAGAAATGTATCTATTGGATGGCATTATCCACCATTCAAACAACAGGGGCCTGGGCCCAGTTGTTCAAAGGGTGACTAATGCCATTCACTGGGTAGATCTTTACTAGTGGACAACTCTGTGTGTTTTGTCAACATTGATCAATCAGACGGTTATTTATTCAGTTGATGGCATTATCCATCCTTTGAACAACTGGGTCCTGCAGCTGATTTGATCAACAGTTTATAGATGAACTAAGCCTGCTGCTAACTTGCTATGTTTTTTTTCATACATCCCACAAAATTAAAATGGAATTTGGTCAAAGGGTCCAGCAGAGGCAGGCCAACAAGTGGTATTAATACCAACTGAGGAGGAGTTGCTCATAGAAAGTTCAACAATTTATCACCTTTATCACCTATAACAGTATATGTATGTTATGCATCAATCATCACCTGTGCAGTGCAACACTTGTCCAGAGAAGCCAGACACATCCTCGTCACTTTGAGATTTCACTACAGAGCCTCCTAAATGCCTGATAACCTCTTCATTGGGTAACATCTCTATAAAATATTTTGAAAAACTACGAACAAGAAGGATGGCATTGTAGCTCTCCGATGTGAAGTCACTGCTGTGAAAAGCAAAAAAAATTGATGTGATATCAGTCAGGCAGAAAAATAATTCAACTAAAGCACTCTGACTGGTATGCTTACATTTTGAAGGACTAGCATTGTATTTATCAAATGAAAGGAAAATCTCAAACTGAGGCCTTGTTCAATCAACATGTGGGTTTTATCAACTTAAAGCCTTTATCTACCAGAAGTAACATGCAAGTCACTTCTCCCTAAAAAATCCAAATATTACTTAGCAAACAGGTGATCACAAACTCAAACTTAAGTAGAAGTTGTTATCTTGATCTAACACCAAATTCTAGTAACTAATTACAAGAAAATGTAGAAGCAAGAGGGGAGAACTGCTAATCAGATCTTGGGAGTTAAAGGGTTATCACTGTGTTGTAATTTGATTTACAGCTGGACTCTGGTTGACTCTTAATTTCCATTTTGTCCACAATTGGACAAAGGAAATCGAGGAGTAACATATGAAGAAATTTCTTCAGGTAAAATTTTAATCAAACTGCAACAAAAATGGGTCAAACCACAGCTGAACTCTCCAAACAACCAAACAAGCTTTAGATGAGTATACACATACATGCTCTGAGAAAAAATGCTCCAAGTATGTTTTTAAAAACATAAAAAAAACAGACACAGACACATGGTACTCAACTTGCCAATCAATTCCTGAATTGTATACCTGACAGTCAAGTTACCTCTTAATATTAACAGCATGAAAAGAACTTTTAACAGAATTGAGTAAAAACCAATTAACAAAGCTATTAATACTTACTTGTCACATTTTGTACTGTCTTTCAAATCTGGTATTCTTTTCAAAAACACTTTTATAAGGGTGACAAAATTTCTTGTTGTTAAATTGTTTCCAACTGAAAAGATGAAATAATAATTAACTAACTTTATGATAAATTAATCTAGTGTAGATTAAGTCCTAAGAAGGATTTTATAAATCAAAATAGTCTAATATCAATTGATGCTCGCTTGGAACAAGTTTCAAATATTTGAACACGTACCTAGCCTTTGACAAATTGGTTCTGTAGCTTCCTCCAACAATCTGGCATCAGCACTGAAAGAATAGGAAAACTATGTTGATTTCAATTCTGTTTGTAAACGTGGAAGTACAGTTTTGTCTAACAAAAAAGGAAATGTAAACTGAAAAAATCCTATAAAAAGATATAGCAGAGAGAGTGATAATTTCTTTTTCCTAAATATTGTAAGAAAAATTTTAAGCATTGTGGGTACAGACTGAAGTGCACTATTTTTACTCTCTTTGATTTGCATGAAAACCAAGTCTAAAAATTTCTTTCCCAGCTCTAAATATTCCACTATTATAACATTTGGGCTTATGACTTCAATTACATCCTTTATTTGGCATGATTGTTGACATTTTGAACTTTAAAATTTATCAATGGTTCATTTGGAAATGCTCTGCATAAGCCTCATAGATAGTAAATTAAATCAATTTAGTATATAAGATACACTCTAGGCAGGTTAAATTCAGTGATCATTAGTGTTGTTTTCAAAAGTGTATGGGAATCCCTCATGTGACTGGCATAAATTTTGGGCATATAGTGGTAGGCAGCAAAGGAAGTTTGTGACCACTGGTTCTGCCTCTTCATTGGTTTGTGGCACATAATTTTAGCTCCAACACATGTCTAGAGCTTGCTCTTGAATTTTGAAAGCCTTGCTGTATCTTTGAATGAAAGTACAGGTCATTATAAACAGTTGAAAGTTCTACAGGCAGTCAGTAATGTTTAAGAAAATTAACAAAAGCAGTTGACTGGCCATGTCATAATAATACAATAGTCTCACAGTTATTTCCTTTGAAAAGAAACTGTTACGTTGCTGGCTGTATAATAACAGAAGGCAAGTGAAATAAGTAGTTCTACAACTGATGTCCAAGTCAAGTCAAAGGCAGATGTAATAAGAAGCCACCCAGTAATAACTTTTGAAAAGTTGTTGTATTAACCCTTTTGTTGGGAAAACAATGGATTTCCAAAGTTCAGCCTTTTTAATAATCAAGTGCCAAGCTAATCTCAGTCCAGTTACTCTAAATGCATGTAGTCACGAAATTTTTCCAACAGTCTGTTGATAGTGGATCGGAATTCTTCCTCTAGGCGAGTTACTTTAGTTCTCCCTTGAGTGGCCTGGTCATCATTTTTACTTTAGCTAGTATGGGCAAACTAAATATGACCGAGTGATAAACCATATGAATCAACGAACAGCACTTTCAAAGCTTCGAAAACGAAATTTAAGGAGCCCCCTTACCATTCCATAACCATCTCGTGATTGCCAATTAAATCACCAGACTGTGGTAAATCAAGTGAATAACATGCTAACTTTTTCATCAAAACAAATAATTCCTGACGAAATTTCCAAAACCATTCTATGCGTCTTCCCCTCTGTACGAAAGTGCGCCAGAATCAAAGTACAAGCCACAGATTGCTTTCACAAAAGAAATCATAAACTTAATAACTCAGCCAATGTTTACAAGCAAATTATCGATCGTTGTACCTATATTTGACATGTAGTTAGGTCTTAAAAGAAATACTATCCCTCCGCGCAGAAAGTGTCAAATAGAGAAGCTCACACTTCAGTCCTACCTGGCTCTTTCAAAATCATCTCTCAGATTTAAAGAAAAATTAATGCGCAAATATAGGACTAAATTAATTTGGCTTTAGCTAACCTGTTGTAGGGAGCTTGAAACGAGAACGCCAAGATATCTTGCCAAAACTCTTCTTCTTCCCCAATCGCTGTGTCTCCAGTAAATATTTGGAGGACAGGGTTGTGTTGCAAATCGCTTATAGATGAGGGTTTAGCCCCCATTTTGAGTAGAAACTCGAGCTATAGAAAAGTTGTAAAAAGCTGCATTTTATTCTGTAGTTGAGCTTCTGAAGAGTGCCACGAATTCTTCAACAGTAATCCGCTGACAATCAGGTTAAACGCGAGCCTGCATTCAGGTGAGTGCTAATGTTTATCATGTGGCCGTGGCTTGAAATTCACTGAAGTTGCTGTATTTTCAAACGCCTCTGCATGGACATTAAACGTAAAGACTATGGGGAACAAGCAGACCTCCCAGCTAGAGCCAATCAAGCTATCACCACACAACGAAAGCCTTTCGAAATTATTTAAGGTATCTCGAGCGTTTCCGTCTGGGGATTGTAGAAACTATTATACGTTGTGAATTTTAATATTTCTGCAACATCTTTCAGCTCGAGCTAGCCATTTATTATACTCGCTGTATGCTGTATTTATGAGTGTTTGTTTCTAAAAACAAAGACCGGTAGTCTTTCGGCAAAATTTCCGCACAGCTCATACTTTATTAGGCATACAGTTCTTGGATGAGGAAATCAAGGGCGAAAACAATAAATTGCCTTCGGAACAAGGTGTCCAGCCTTTTCATAGAATAGCGTAGGGGTAAAGTTTCAGCACAGCCCCATACTATTGTCAAAACAAATCTGTTTTCCCAATGGAAATGTATTGTTTTTTTTAATTGTTTTCTCTAGTCAAGAACTGAATGCATAATGTAGTATGGGGTTGTGCGGAAATTTTACCCAGCTTTTTCCTAAAATAGCATAGGGTTATAAAATTGCCTTCGGGATAAGGTGTCCAGCTTTTTCATAGAAAAGTATAGGGTTTTATTAATCTTTTTCTTAAATTTAAAATCGTGTTGAAATTACAATTAAAGCAGAAAATTCTGGGTAGAGTATATCAGAATTCCCACACTGAAGGTCATGTATGGTGGCCAAGGGCTGCCACTCAAAATTTTACAGTTTTTCTAGGATTGAATAAAAAATAAAAGATAAAAATAAACCAAAACTGAAAATGAAATGGAACGTGGCTGCAAAACAAAGGAAAAAGAACAACTGAAAGAAAAATGGAGTAAAAATCAAATTTAAAAGCAAAAGTAATAGCATTGTCAAAGAGAAATCATTTTGAAATAAAACTGAAATCCAAGGGCAATTCATGTGGAAATAAAAAATAAATTCAACATCAAATCAAACCAAAAGTCAAAGTGAATATCACTGTGGCGGAGGGCTGCCACTACCATGATACTGTGCAGGCATGATTGTATGTCTCATCATGCGTTGTGTCCCTTTACAGAAGTTGTAAAGTTGTTTTGGTCTTGAGTGATTTTAGAAGAGTTTTTTAGTATTTCAATGCCTTAATTTTTTTGTGCATTGTTACTTGATCTACTTAACAGTACCATCATTGAAAAATATGTCAAAATGATAAGCCTTCTATCAAGCATTCTTAGACTCCATGCACAAAGTGGAAAGTCATTAGTGAGGAAATTTATCATCTCTTGTCTTTGTGATCCTTGCCTGATATATTTCAGCCAAGCCTCTTCAGGATCGGCATTATTTTTCCATAAGGCTTCTCTGAAATCTGACATCAAAATACTAAAAAACTCTTCTAAAGTAACTCAAGACCAAAACAACTTTATCACTTGAGTCAAAGGGTACAATGTATGATAAGACATACAATCATGCCCGCACAGTATCATGATAGTGGCAGCCCTCAGCGATATTCACTTTGACTTTTGTTTTGATTTGATGTTGAATTTATTTTTCATTTCAACGTGAATTGCCCTTGGATTTCGGTTTTATTATTTTATAATGATTTTTACTTTGACAATGCAATGATTTCTACTTTATTTTACTTTCAATTGTTCTTTTTCCTTTGTGTGCAGTCATGTTCCGTTTTACTTTTAGCTTTGAATTATTTTTTCTTTTATTTTTTATTCAGTCCTAAAAAAACTGTAAATTTCGAGTGGCAGCCCTCAGCCACTATAGTCATGGTAGACCTGCAGTTTATCTAGAATATCAAAGCTCATGTAGATTTTGGTAAAAGTTGTTATTTTGCTGTTTATATTTCCTTCTTATGTAACTAATTTTAAGAATTGTAACAGCTTGCATGTTTTTTATGGTAGCTCACTTGAAAGAATGGGAGCCTGGGGACAGGGATAGAATATGATATAAGCCTGTTGGCAACCTCAGGGTCCCATAGTCCTTTCACTTATTTTTGAATGAAAAGTAAGTTAAATTGGTGCAAGAGATGGAATTTTTTTATCTGGTATAATTAAATAACAGGAACTTGCTGAAGTTACAGATGGAATATCATCCATAAGAAAAGAAGTATTTCAGGTAAAGCAGACTTTTGTTTTCTGGTTATGACAGAACCCTTGTTTCGTGGCGCTTTTGATTTTTTTTCCCCTTTTTTTCAGTAATACCATATAAGAAACACAGGCTGTAGAGGTTTTTGTAGACCATTTAAAAGATTGATTTTTGTAAATGACTTTTAATTTGCAGTTTATGTTTATTTCATTTCAGAACTACTTCAGATCTGAAGTAAATGAATTTGATGAGCCACTCTTCTCACTTATAGCATTAAGTGGAGGATGTGACAGGAATGCAGTGCAACTAGGATGTGATGAGTTTGTCAATGGATTTGATGTTTTCTTAGAAAAAGGTGTTGACTCTGAAATAAACATTACTTGGTGTATCCCTTTACATTGTTCTACTAAGGATTCTGTAGGTTTGATAGCCACTACTCCCTCAGTCTGATCTTTTTTCAGCCTAAGGTGTTACTTTAAAGGAAACACCCCTCCCCCTCTAAAAAAGTTGCTCTTAGCCACCACTGAAATGGAATTGATGTCAGCGCAGAAGCTGCCATCTAGAATTTACAAAACTGACTTATCTTTTACAAAGTGATATCATTTTACAGAGCATACTTGAGTACTTCTCTTTTCACTTATGTTGATCAACTTAGTTAGTTGGTTCTTCAACTAAAGTGCAGCAGACAGTACTTTTCCCCCTCCTAGCACTCTAGCCTGTAGTTGCATTCTTGACTGCAATTGTGAGTCAATTGAGGTGATACCATTGAAACTAATATACCATGCTAGAGTAGTTACTTTTAGCCAGATTTATTGAATATGCTCTAAATCACATGGCATGAGGTGGAAAAACTAAAAAATGAAAGTCAAGGACCAATTAAACAAAAATGCCTGAACCAAAGATGTGAGAAAACAAAATAACATGAAGCAAAGTGATAAATTATGTTGCCCAACTCCTAAGAGAGTAAAATAGGGGTTGTTCCACTGAGGTTAATTATCCAGATTGATTTGTACCCTCTATGTGTTCTTCTGCTGTAAATGATTACATCGCAAAATCAGTTTTTGGCAAATGCTTGAATTACAACTGTCAAACATTAACTAGCAAAATGTTCAAGTGTGACTCACGTCACACCTGTATTTAGTAACCACATTTTATAAGTCACTTTGTGAATGATGAGTTGTTAACTATTTTTCCTTCTGAGTAGGAATGATAATTTATTGATGCTCTTTATTAACATCTGAAGCTAGCTTTTCCTATGGAAGATGTCCAAGAGCAGAATGTTATGCCCTCTTATATGTGTGGTGTGGTTATTTCATTTCCATAGGAGCAACATCTGCAGGAAGATTAGAATTATACTTTGCACTGTTTAGTGATGGACAATCAACCATGTCATTTACAGGTAAATTATCAACTGGCAAGGTTTATTTTATTTAGGAATATACCACAGAGTCTAGAGTCTGGAGTTTGACTCCAGCTAGGCTGCAAAGGAGTTGTACAAAGGAAAGAATTAAATGGCCAAGAAATATGAAGAACACATGCTCCATTCCACCCTGTTAATGCTTGCATTCAGTCTTGTTGTGAGGGCAGATCTTGGCAAATGGTTTGTGGTCCTACTGTTAATGTTGTCAGTATATTTCCAAATGTTATGATGGATTGATTCCTAAAACATCATTTTTTCTTAACCAATAAAACAGATCTGGTAGAGATGTTCCATATCTCACGATCTCTTGCTGTTGTTGTGGCTGGTACTGCCCTTCAGAGTCCTAAGCCTGAATCACAGACAATAGCAGATGTGTGGGCAAGGTCAATTGTGAGTTGAAAGTTTTCTTGTTGATGCCAACTATTATTTGTCAAAAATTTTTCAAAGGCTTAAAAGTCTGCCAAGGCTGAAGTCATCTCATGTGTAACTGACACTAATGATGTTTCGTATAATGTGTATACAGGTATTTCAATTTACATTGTCGGATCAAAGCTTCAAGGGTACGGGACAAGACCAAAAGGCGGTATGGGTAGATTAGAATTAATTTTAGGCTTTCGGGGTTGTCGGTGCGAGATGGACATGGAGGCTGAAAATACAATTAGATTGTTTCAAAGAGCAACAAGAATATTATTCATTAAGATCCCATATTTTGTCTTGTAGGCCTTTGATCCGATTTGAAATAGCTGTATTTTTCCTGATAAAATGGTAGGAACAGCTATGGCTCAGCTGAGTTACTTTTAATTAATTGTGTTTGAATCAACAGGAATACCCTGATTTTTAATTTAGTTACCTTAAATTTGAACAAACTTAAGTATGGCTCTACAAATGATTGGTGAGGCCTAAATTTCTTAAAATTCCTCTTCTAGTAAATTATTTGAGGATGTAGAGTATATGCACATGAGTTCTGAACATTGTGGGCATGCTATAATTTAAGCTGCAATGATTTTAATTTTTTGAATTATTTCCTTGATTGTGGTGAATGTCAAACTTTATTTGGTGAATGAGATAAATTCACAACAAATGAAGCTTAATGTGCACATCACTAGTAATTTAGCCTATTTTTGGTCATCTTTCTGCAACTGATGTGAGATAAGCTATAGAGTACACAAGGTAATGAATGTAGTATTATCAGCTGAGTTGATAACATAAGTTGGCCACCATAAAGAGTTGAAAAGCTGATGCTTTGAGTGTTAGCCCTTTGTCAGAGCTTTGTATTTGCTCACCTTTTAAACTCTTTATGGTGGCCAAATTATGTTATCAACTCAGTTGATAATACTAAATTCTCCTGTTATACTCTCCCACCGACACAGCACCACAGTTTCTTTAGAAATTTACCCTCTTAACCCTGTCTCTCCCAAGATCTGATTGTTAATTCTCTCCTCTCTCTGCCACACAATTCCTTGTAAATTAGTTGTGAGAATTTGATGTAAGATCAAGATAAAAACTTCTACCCGATAAGTTTGATTATTCTCATGAACTGTTTGCTAGAAAATGTAAAAATATCATAGGGAGAAGTTACATGTTAGTCACTTCTGGGAGTTAAAGGGTTAAATAGTTTATAGAGTACACAGTTAACTAACTGTGTTATTTTTATTACACCTCAATTTTTGTTGCCTTTCCTTTTTTAAAGATTGGTGATGATGACAACACTCAGGTAGACTGTCAAACATTTTGTAGCTGGGCCAAACAAAACTGCCCAAGAGTGTTTGATGGAATTCACTGCTGGATGAGGAAAATGCTCCTGCAAAGAGGAAATTCAGCTGCAGCAGCCACTCCAGAGGTAGCTACTGTTATCTACTGTTATCTACTGGGAGGAGGCAGCGTGGTGGGAGTGGTCGGGGTAATGTTCTTGAAATCACATGGTCCTAGGTTCAAACCCTCCATCCTGCCATTCCTCGCATTTGTTCTTGGTTGCCCTGAGTTCAACTCCTTTGGCTGCTCTTTGTGTAAAGCCAACTGATCTGCCTTCTGCCAGTTGCTATTTTTAAACACTCTGTTTAGTTACTGTTTCATTCATTTGTATTGGCTCAGGAAAGACTGGAGGGCCCCATTGGGAGAGTGGTAAATTGAGTATACAAACACACATACAAAATTTCATGAAGTTAAAGGACCACCACTAGTAATTTTGTATTATTTCACCTCCTTTTGTTTTACAAACACAATAAGATATTTTTAGCCATAGCAGCAATCCAAGCTAGTGAGAGTAGGACGCACTAGTCTTGCAGTTGTTCTGGCACACATCATCAAGCCATTTTAGAAAATACAATAATTGATTCAGAAGAATGTACAAGGACAATGACTAATTTAGGTAATTTCCAGATAAGTTAAGCCCGTTTGTAGTAAATTAATTGTCACTTGAATGACTCTTTAATGTTTAGGGTAACTGCATGTTTATGTTACAGGGATTTCCAGCAATACCACGCGTCTTAGATCCAATACACAGCCATTCCTTACTGAATACAGAAACCCTGTGGATTCTCTCCACCATCCTGCCACATTGCTTCATAAGAGGTACCCCTTTAACATTCAACACAGGCAGTCTCCAGTCAGAAGTCTTAGAAGAAAGAATTGCAAACCCTTTAGAGAGAGTAAGCTAATTTCGTCTTGTAACACTTTCAATACCCCTTGCTAACCAACTTCAAGGTCCATAGTGTAAGTTACGAACCGAGCTTTTTTCGCCTGCTAAAGCGAAGCGCTGAGCGCGCTAGCCTTAAATTCTAGCGGAAAGAGCAAGGTTCCGCAACTTACAGTACTGACCGGGAAGAAAAAGTTTTGTAAGATATTTATGATATCTCTGGGTTTAGCTAGAGGGGAAATATTTCAATTCAAACAAACCTCTGAATTTAGCGGGCCGCACAGTGAAATACGGCTCGCTAAATTGATCAAACATAGCGCACAATACGTAACTGAGAGAGAAAATGGTGAAGTGTAATTCTCGATTGTTGTTAAGGAATCATGCAAAAGAAAAAAAAGCAAGACCTAATTCTAAGACAGCATGATCTGAAAAGTATGAGCAGAGAGGTTTTAGCCGGTGTAGCTGGCTAGCGGTTTTGTGTGTGCTTTGAAATATTAAGTGGGGAAGCTCTGTAAAACAGTGATGAAGTTTGCAGTGCTATGTTGATGTTTTATCCACTTTCTCACTGTTTTCTGAATCTTTCCAGTGTAAAGAATGGACCTTACTCTATGATAGTCGTGAACATGGTCAGAGTTTAAACAGGTGAGTGATTTGCTGAACATTTCTGAAGGGATAGAGGGAGTTGTTGAGCATATGGTATGAGTGCGGGTCAGAGACAATAAGCAGACGTCAACTGTAACAGTATGCAGGACGCGTGTCACCCCATAAGTACCTGACTCATTATAGAGTTCTTTGTAGTTCAGTTGTACAGCCTTGCGAGTAGGCCTTCTTTCATATGTGCTTCAGGACGCGTGTTTCTCCGCCCGCGGAAAATTTGAGACAAGTCGGGGAGAGGTTTATGCCAGGTTCTGGCAGTAATAGCGTGAGACTTCTTGTAGATCTCTTGTCGACTCGCGCTGCTCAAGCGCTGGTAATGAAGGTCTGCTGACAGGCTATTTTTGATAAAGCACCAAAAGGTCTGAAGTTTGATTCCCCATGGGAACTCATATTTTCTAACTTTCGTGAATAAGTACATGACATCTCTCGCTCATACTGTACAGTTTTCAGGAAATTAAATCAGCCTTTACAGCTTGGGGTGTAGAGAAAAGTAACAACATACGAGGGGTTTTTAACAGATTTTTCCATAAGAAGCTGCCAATCTTGTAATATGCAGCTGCGTCCAGGAAAGGAGCCATAAGGCTAAATACAAACACGTGAGCCTGCCGGCTAAAGAGACGGGGGTAAGAGATCTTATAGGCAGCGGTAGACCGCCACAGTAACCGGCTTTTGATAAAACCGCTGATTTATTGTTAGAATTGTTTGGTTTCGGTATTAGTCACTGATAGTATTTTGATTTGATTTAGGTTCAAGCATCACTGCATGGATTACCGTGGACCTACTGTCGCTCTGTTAAAGGTTGGAAAGGAAGGATTGCTCATTGCAGCTATTGATGTCGAATGGAGGTAAGGGATCGAAGGCATATATGAAACAGTATACATGCCTTACTTTCCAAGCCAAGAGAAGTCTCAAGATGATTTTGGCATTCATGACTGGTTTTTTTCTGTATGATCAAAATGGGAAATCTTGAGCGGGCAATTGTGGTAGCCAATCAGAATACAGGATCCACTCCGACAAGCCCACGTAAGCGTCATTATAAACCCTATCTTGTCACTGTGTCAGTTCGTAAATTCTTTTCTATATAAAAAGGTTGTCATTTTTAAGCCACATGCATTTGATTGTGTGTTGGTCTTGATGCTTTATAGACTAACCCCCCCCCCTCAGGGGTTTGTGTGAATGTTATTGGTATCGTGTCAGTTGTTTGTCATACCAGATTGTAAAGGTATTGTAAAACACAAATTGACTATCGTAATTCTCATTTCTAGTTATCATAATGAAATAAAACTGCTTGTCGGTCGTTTTCTGAAGTGAGAGGTTTAAAAACCAGTTGACCAAGGTAGTTACTCAGAGTTATGACTGTAATGTTCCATCCTTTGTCCTTCAGGGAATCATCATCAAGCTGGGGAAACTCTGAATGTAGGATTATTCAAGTGAGACCCAAGTTTCGGTTGTTGAGAGGTGAGAAATATGGACGCTTACAGTTTGATGAATACACGGGGTAACCGATTAAGTCGACTGGAAGTCATCTCGCCGATGTTATGTCGCCCTAAACTAGAGGGCAAGATGACTTTCGGGCTATGTGTGCGCGTGTAGGAGAGAGGAAGCTCTAGTATTCATTTGTTGTCTTTGTCTGCTCCATGCAAATGTTCAAAGGATATTAGGGAATCATCAGCCAGATCAACCCTAAAAATAGTCTATTGACTGATTTGCGAAGCTAAGGTTAGCTAAGCTTGATTCAAGGGAACGTCAATACAATGTCGGCAGACAATCGTGTATGACACTGTAAGAAAAAGTTGCACACTAGGAACGAGGGTTACAATCTTTTCGTTTTTGTTCAATAGCTGGTCCAAACTTGATCTTCTTTAACGAGAGGGCGAGAGGTTTGCCATCAGGGATAGTTCTGGGTCAGACATCAAGGCCTTGTGTCACACTGGATGCTGATTTAACTGCTGCTAAACTTCATTATCAGATGGATTTGACGCCACAGACCATCAACAAAATAGAGGTACAAATATCACTGCAGCCGCTTAGATATACTTGAGATTCTCAAATCAATGTCAGTATTAGCAACTGCGCACTTATTCCTCCCTTAACGCAAAAGTAACCCAAACTTGTTATCAGTTGATTGTTTTGGGGTTAGGGGAGGGGTAGGTGCGAAGTTGCTGACATTGATCCAAATTCTCAGTACGGTGCTCAGTTGTTCTTGATACACGCTACGTCTTCACTTTTGAATCAAACATTTTGCTTCTTCGGTGTGTTTTTCGATATCAGGTTTGGGGATGTGGTGGACAGGAATTGAAAGCAAAACAGCAAAAACAACAACAATGGGAACGAAAACAAGCAGAGAAACTTCAAAAGGTTTGAAAAGCGGAGATTAATTAACTTTAAATTATTAACTTTGAAAATATTGATCTGATAGCAGAGTTTCTCTGGAAATCCAGGTTCCAAGTAACTTTAATTGGACGAAGAGAGGGGTTGTTTTAGATCAGGAATAGAAAACAGTCATAACTTTAGGGATACACACGGATCACAGAGGAGGTCTTACGGGAATGAACGCATGCATGGTATCATTATAAGAAAGTAGGCCATGCGCAATAAAATCAGTGGGTACTTCCATGAACTAAGAGTGACGCTTTTTTTCCTGCTACAGGTAAAGCGACCTGGGAGGTGGGATGACAACCCAGACAAAGCGATTCTGGACATGGCCGGTGTCACTACAAACCACAGTCAACGATAAAACAGACTGCGCGCATCCGATATTTCATCGACATAACTCGGAAGACATAATTGTTATTCAATTGATGCTCTTCAGGGTTACTCCCACGTTTGCAAAGAATTTTCGTAGGAAGGAATGCGATTTGAATATCACTGAGGAAAAACAACCCAAAAAAAGCATCTTCGCCTCGAAAAGATTCCAACAGCAAAACAGGAAAAGCTCTTTTTGACACATCATTGAAATACTTGAAATATTGGGGGTTAACTTGGTAGTATTCCGAGCCCATTTATCATATATTTCAGGAAGTGCGTTATCGACTAAGTGTGTGGTAAAATTATGAAGTGTGTTGCTGTTCTGTTTTGAGGTCAACATAGCTGGATATTGTTTAAGTTCTCTTTTTGCCGTTTTTGTTGCACTCAAGGTAAAAACAAAAAATAACGGGACCAATATCCAGCCAATCTGATTGAACAAATTTAGTTTGGTCTTTTTTTCGTGTTCAAAGCGGGCAGTCCCGAGCGGAAAAGTTTGGCCATCTTGTCCACACGGTAGCCAATCCTAAAAAAAAAACGGCTCGCTTCGTTGTGTCGTCCAAAGATTTAGTTTTCAATGTATCTTAGAATTTCTTAAGATAATGTAGTCATCAAATGATTAGATAAAAAAAAGAACCTTTTTTCACGATCGCACCATAGTATCCAAAGATTTATCACAAGTTCTACAAGTTAAAATTTACTTCAGATAAACAAAAATTTATAATAGGAAATTTGTAAGGCGGTGATACATTTGCATATACATTTCAGAAGAAACCAAGAATTCGAAATATTCCAAGTGTTATTGGGATGTTGCATGCATTTATCACTTAATAAATGACTGATACATTTTACTATGCCGTAGTTTTTCGTATGCCTGCTTATTTCAAGTTTTAACTTCGACTTTCTTTCTCAAGAAAACGTATTGGGAAATATTTGTCGAAGCACGGTTGTCCATTTTGCACAACAGGAACACTTGTTTGTATGCATTACAGACCTATAATTGCCAGTTAGTTATGAGATGGTTGACGAGCTGTCGAATTAGATTAAATAACCCAGGATCCACTGGTTTTGCCGTTTCATGCATATTGTTGGTCGAAAAAACTCTTTGCCACCCTCTAAGCTAATGAGGCCAAAGCATTTCCCAAAACGTTTCCTAAAGCGTTTCAGGTTGTTTGTTTGTTTTGGCCATATTTACCTTCGTTCCGGGCTGACTGTCACTTAAGAAAACCTTGATTTTCGTCTTACTGTACTTAACCAAAAAGCTTTCCAGTTCTTTTTGTTACACTCATGCCAATCACTTCTGGATTACTTTTCCCTCTCTTTGCTATTTTCCGTAGGTGCTGTCGAAAGTTCTGACTCTGAAACGAGTACAGAAAAGGGTTTAAACTCGATTGTGCCACTGCCAGTAAAGCCAGACCCGATCTTAATACCAAGGAACTGCCGAAACCAGAGCCCAGCTCTAAGATGAACCACGGAAGCCAACAAATGTTAAACAGCAAGATAACACTGCTAAGAATCTGTGTTAAGTGTAGACGTGACTTCAAAAGTACCAAGCTCGTTGAAGGGTTTTTTCTTTCGTGAAACCAGAGATGAACAAAGACCTTTCCCAAAAAGTATACAATTACACACATGGGTATCAAATACATGGTGACGAAAATGGTAATTCGGTAAGATCGTGGTAGCCCCTTCAGCGGTAAGGTCTCCCAGCAGATATATTTCTCGTTCTCCAATTCGTGGTGTTCGTTGAAGTACAAACTCAATGCGAATAATGCCAGCGATACAATCCAAATGGCTGGAAGAATTAATTTCAGTTTTCCTTTTGTTAGCGTCGTTCGTCGCAGCACTGGTTTCACAATGGATAAGTATCGATCGAATGCCAGTACGCACATGGTGTAGATGGACACTGACGCACTAAACAGGGTCACTACGTTAAGTCTGCCGCACATTAGGCTTTTCTTGCTACTCCCCGCCATGAGAAACAAAATTTCTAAAACGATATGTATCATACCAGACACACCAAGCGTCAGGTCGCTGATCGCCATGTTCACTATCAAAATAGATGTAAAGTTGTAAAGTTTCTTGTTTTGAACAACGACCGCGCACACGAATGAATTCCCCACGATGTTCGCGATAAAAATGACTGCATATCCGACGCAGAGGATTATTTCCCCTGTCACAGAAATTGCCATCTGAAGATGCAAGTTTCAGCAAATGCTTGTATAGTGGTAAGCTTGAGAAATCCTTTCACTGACTTGGAACCTAGCTGGTGACTCGATTTAAATACAGCGTTCGGAACGTGTCAGTTTGACGTACATCCTTATTGTGCCCCAGCCTCATTCGCACAAAGCTAAACAAAGACAGGACAAGAACAATATTCCCGTTAATATCGATGTGTTGTTTCTTTTTTTGCATAAATTTAATTTTTATACGTACCCCCATTCACAGAATCCAGTACGTAGTTCATTCAGTTTAAATTATTAATTATGGCGTTTTACCACTTAAGATGGCTGCAGCGAACTAATATTGCTCATGATATTGTTGATGTCGCAAAGTGCCAACTTAACGTAATTTTTGACCCCTCTTTAGATGGGAAATGAAAACACATAGAGAGCTAATACATTCTATGTGTTCTAGTTGCCTAAACATTGACTTTTTGGGTAAAGAAAAAGGAAAAAATAGCGCTAATAAGTCTGTTGAGTTCAAGGTTCGGTAAAAGCGATAGGTGATAAGCGCCTAAATGCTTAACTTATTAAGTGTCTTATTACCGACCTATTTTCAAAGCTCAGTAGGAATATATGATCGAGATGAATTCAAGGTTAAATCTGTTCGTTTAGTTGATCTGAAAAAATAAGTCGGAGAACGGAGAAACATTTATTATTCGTCCGTCGCATACATATTTTGCCTTTGCGCATAATTATAAGGGCATTAATTCAAGTCTCTGCCAAATTTGCATGTCCACAGCCAAAAGTTACCTGGATAGGAAAGCTTGAAATTAAAAAACTTGCTGCTTAAGAATCGCGAATATAATCCAGTAAAGTTTACGGTGGTAAAGAGAAGTAACCAGTTCAACTTAATTGTCAGTGAAAGGAAAGGGTTAATTACGCGTGCCTAAGGCAAAAGTAAGTACGTGAAGTAATAAGGCCGGAAAACGTGATGCTTGTATTTAATCATCCATGCACGTCATGTGTTAACTTAGAGTAGACGTGACTAGTTCATCATTTCTACTATTTTGTGATTCCTAACAGATTTTCTGAGAGGCTTTGAACCTTTCGTTATAAATAGAGATAATTCTTCGGTGGAGAAAGATACGTCGTTTCAGAAGTGAGGTGCACATATTTGTATTTCTGACTCCTCCGACAAGAGCTTTGCCCAGGCTCGGAAAACTGGCAGGTTTTGATGACTACTTGATTTAGAAAGAAATATTTCCAACATCCCATGAAATCTTGATTATCGGCAAGATTAGCTCTCGAACCACATCCGACAAAGGACGTTCAGCTGACAAAACAAAAGATTCTACGCTGATCTAAAACGACTAAATATCGATACACAGATCCTTCATTGACCCATTTTATGCAGCTGCGAGTTTTAAACTTTGTGAAACTTAGTGCAATGGAAAACTGAAACACCGAATTTTTTTGGCTAAAAAACTGGAAAACCGATCTAAAAAATAGCCAAAACTCCCAATGCTCCTCCTAGGCTCCTCCTCCTTTAGATAAATTTCACTGCGGTTTTCCTACTCGTGTTCATGATATTGCCATTAACTCACATAAAAACGTGTTTTTCATCATTCCTTCATCGCAAGTAATGCTTTAGCTTTGCTTGTTTGTTTGTTGGTCTGGTTTTCTTTTTTCTGTATCGTTTTCACGTTTTCAGGTGTTCGTATAGCGTATAAATTTTTCAGCGTAGGGTGAACCACCCTACCCTACCCCACCAGGAAGAGAAAGCGAAATCACGTGAAAGTCCGCGCGAGGCTGGTATCTAAAAGGTGCCAACAAAATGGAAGATGGCGGAAGGAGAAAGGCAGAATTTATTTTCCGATCGACAGCGAAACTATAAATCAAATCCCCTACTCAATTCATTCAAGAAAAATGAAGCCTCAGAGAGAAGTTCTTTGTCAGAGAGCACTGAGGCACCAAAATCTTACGGGGCTACTCGGAATCCACTGCAACCGCAATGCGACGTGAAGTTGATAGGTCATGTTGTGGAACCTACCGACACATTGCAAGGACTTGCTATAAAATATGGGGTGACGGTGAGAATCAAGCTCAGAATTTTCTTTTACAGTAGATGCATTTTATAGGAAGGAAGGATCAAAAGTAATTGAAAGCATTACAATAATGCGGCCTAAACTCGATATGTTATCGAAGAACAATAGTCGCCACGCCGGTTACGTGTTTGCAGACCTACTGTGTTCGGTAATGCTCCTCCCATGTGATTCTCGAATTACTATGTTGTTTATGGCTTTTCTTTTTCGTTCTTGAATTTAGCTTTGCATTAGAGTATGAATATTGAAGCAAACTTACAAGAACTTTGTCATGTGCTGTCAGAATATTTTCCTTAGAATTTGGTTCACGATCACCGTGCAAAAGCGGAAGCTTACATTTACGTAATACTCCACGATTGTTGAAATGAAAGTGGTGATTGGAAATCTAAGCCACATGTGATATTTTTCGTACACATTGCTTACTTTTTCCGACTGGACAGCTCACGTGTTTTAATTGATAGAACTTTCTCCTACCACTGCTCTGGATTGATCTTTTGTTTTCTTTCCTTTTTTTTTTGCTTTCGAATATTGACGTTGGATAATTTCTTTGCGTTCATTACACAACACTTGCTATCCTCATTAGCTGTAATATAAAAGTTATGATACGGTATTGTGCAGAGCGGTCTGTGCAGCCACTCCAGGAAGTGTACCAGTCGTTCAACTTAAGATCGTAATGCTCAGTACAACATCATCTCCTGAGATGAATGGAATCTGACAATTTCAAGCTAATTTTGCTTAGTATCTCTAGGGTCTCATTTTTCCATTTCGGAATGGAACAGTAAACATGGCTTGTATTTCTTTCTTGTGAATTAAGACCTAAACTCTAGGCCTGTGAACTATGTGTTCATTCTTTGGCATCAGAATGAAAAATTTTATTATTGTTTTCCATACAAGATTGTTGGCAATTCCTGGATAGGAGAAGAGTGCTTTCTGATTAAGTGCCGTTAAACCTAAACCAAAGATATTACAAAAGCCAATCAGGAGAAAGGAAATTACCTTTATGAGCCAATGAGAACTGAAAGTAAAACGGACCAAATTGCCCAAAGTGCTGTAAGATGCAAGCGGCCAAATGGTGATTGGTTTTAGTTTTGCATCTGATTTTTTGAGAGAGGGCATAAGTTCTTTGAGCAACCACTGGGTAAAGTAAAGGAAAAAAAATCCTGGATTATTTACAACACTCAATTGAAAATTACTCCAACCATGATAATGTCAAATGAAAATTGATTTTTTTTTTTGTGGACAAAAGTATTAGGTAAAGTAGTATGATTTATTAAATTTGTTAGAAAATACATTCCTTGAGGAAAGCTTTTTCATTTACTAATCAAACATTATAGTTACAGCAAACAAATTTTTTCCTCAATGAGGTAAGAAGTTGATATCCATATTATATCTTTTTTAGGTTGAACAGTTAAAAAGAGCAAACAAAATTTGGGCAAATGACAATATACACTTGTTTAAAATCCTAAAAATTCCAGTTAGGAAGGACTCAAAACACTACATAGAAGACTCTGAATTTTCTGAAGATGAATCAGGGACAGATGATAGTGGTATAAATGAAGACAGAGGCACAATCAATTCTGAAGCAAGAGTTGACAAAGGAAATAAAAGTGGTCACATGTGTGATGGATCTCTTGAGGAATCCAGAGAAACAGAAGGGGAGAGACAACAACAAAACACAGCTTCCAGTTTTCTGGAGCAACTTGATGCAAGGATAAAAAGCTCTAAAAAGGAATCTGAGAAACTTAGGTAAGGTCTAATAATGATGAGAGAAGGAAACTGAAATAATGGGTTGTACAACTCAAAAACAGCAATCATGATATCTCTATGTACTGTAGTCTTGCAACTAGTTGTAATCAAGTATAAGTAAAGTGCATTTGATCTATTTAAGAAACAGATGTTTTTATTTTGGCCTAACAAACTCCATTGTATGATGAAACCTACAAACCTCAAATAATGGTGTGGCATGCAGTGCTGATTTGTATTTACTTATTTCTTTTAAATTAATGTGTGTAATTCATCAACAAATCTCTCCATGGAATTCAGAACAGAGCCAGTCAAGGTGTGAGACTTCACTTACCCACCAGTGCATAAAAACTAGGCCATGTGTATCAGTCAGTTCAAGTTGCTGTTGAAAAGCTTAAACATTCTAGCTTTGTATCAATACCCAAAGGATTTCATAAAACCAACAGGACTGAAAAACAACATGAATAATAACCATACTCCACCATCAATAGTAATAACTAACACCAAAAGATCTGAATGAAATTACAAACTAACTGGTCACCAAAACGGAAATGTCTGAAATGTTTATTGACTAAAAATACATTTTATACCTATTGATCAGAATAAAGAGCCATAAATTTACCAGTTAAATGAGTATCTCTGAGAACAAAACGGTATTATTTTTTTATTGATTCATTTTGAGAATTCAACATATGTCATTTACTCAATGAAACACTTTTTTGTGCACAGAACTGTTTCAGGACCTAAAGTTATTGCAGATTTAGAAAGAGCACATGCCAGCAATCTCACATCTGAAGATGATTTGTTTCGACCACTTGAAGCTGGATCTTCAAGGCGACAAAGAGGACAAGTACTTGCATCTAAAAGGCATGTAAGAAAGGAGAAAACTGCTGTCCAGGATGCCGATGATCAGTTCTTTGAGCTTTGACATAGGATCTAAAACAGATATCATTTTAATTTTGCATTTTATGATTTGAATTGACCATCATACATACAAAGTCATGACTCCAGTTTTATTTAATTTGACAAGATACAAATATCTACAACAAACATTTACATCTGTAAATTTATACTGTATAATTCAAATCAATGATAGGGAAAACAAAAATGTTTAAGCTGCAGATTCTTCAAAGGCTTGTTGGAATTGTGTCCATTCACAGCATACATAGCTATCCAGATACCAATCGTAGTCCTTTGAATGACAGATTTCTTTAACCCTTTACACTCTAACATCAGTATGCACATTCTCCATACTGTTCTCTATACATTTCCTGATGTGCTGACAAGGAGAATTTGTTTAAAAATCAAGAGCTTTATAAGTTGGTGATCATTTCCTTGATTCTCATGACCTTAATGTTTGATTCTGGGGTGATATTGTAAAGAGAAATTAGAAACTGGTCACTCTTTGGGGTTAAATGGTCTTAGTTTCTCAGAAGCACAAATTGGTTTTTAATTGGAGCTAAAAGCAGCGAAACTTTGGCCCCAGAGGAAAGGGGGTAATTCAATTGAGATATTTCTTTTTTTTTAGTCAGACTAATATGCTTTTAGTCACTAGTTCAATTTTGCATTGAACTAATCCCTCACCCTACTCATCTGCTGTTCACACAGTTGCCGGCATTTTCTCAGGCATCTTTACCAGAAATCAATAACAATCTGTCAGCTCAAACACACCTTTATCACTTGAACTCTCAGAATTGATTAACATGTAACTTCTCCCTCTTATATCCGTACATCATCCAGCAAATAGGTAATGAGAATACTCAAACCTATTAAGTAGAAGTAGTTTTCTTGATCCAACACCAAATTGTTGCAACTAAATTACAATGAAATGTGTAGCAGCCAGAAGCAAGAATTAACAAGCAGATCCTAGGATTTGAAGGGTTAATTGCATGAGATAGAGGGACAGGTATAGATTTAAAAAGAATTCATGTAGAGATTTTTACTCATTAGTGAGGGTTCAGAGGAGATGAAAATTTTGAAATGACTGAAATTTACTTTGTCTGGCCAGGAAGTAATTTTATATTCAAACTCAGTCAGATTTTACCATAGTTGTAGAGCTAACAATGGAGACAGGAAACTTTGAGTTCCATTTATGTTATACATGAATGCTACTGGTAGGAAGGAAGTTTGTCATTGTCCGAGTGAATATTCCATCCCTTCAACCACAATTGATGAATCTTGACTCTGTTTAACATGGAAAGTGAAACTGGATTCTTAGCTGCTAAACCATGTATAAAATGGAAAGAAAATTCAGTTCTTTAAAAAGTTACGGTAATTGAATGTTAAGTAATTATTAGGAGTGGTTGTCACTTCCTGGAGAAACATTTTTAATATATTTTTTCATCATTAAGTCCATGAATTTTTCTTAGGGATTAATAATTGAAGTATTTTTATAGTGAAACAAATTAACAAGGCAAAATTGGTCTAATAGGATGATGTGAAATATTTAACAAGAATATTATGAACAGTTACAAAGCCAGCATGAAATACATAGTGAGTGAGATGTGACAAGCATTATACAAGCATTATTCAATACATTGAGCACTTACATTTCCTTAACGCACGGTATGTAGGTCAATTGTCTGTAAGTTTCTTTCTTTATCTCTAACAATATGATTCTCCAAGCAAACTCTAAAAGAAATCTATGGCAGACAGTAAGGAGAATTTTCATTAATGTATTGGGAGTGAATAGGGTTTAATCTGTTTGTGGGAAGAACTAAATTGTTGATTTGTATTTGTATGTCATAACTTAAACCAGAGTTTCATGGGTTAATGCTTTAACTCCTATAAGTGATTAGGATGTAACTTCTCCCATTATATATCTTGATCTAACACCAAATTCTTGTAACTAATTTACCAGGAAATGTGTAGCAGCTAGGAGGGAGAATTAATAATCTGATCTTGGTAATTAAAAGATTAACCGACTGTATCATACAGTGTTTTTCTACGATATTCACTTGTTGTTTGGTGGAACATTATCTGGGACACAGAGATAAAAGTTTTCCTCAGTTTTTTTATCGGAATAAACTCTCCTACAGAGGTGCAACCAAAATAAAAAATGACTGTGGTGAGAAATGGTATACACCTCCAATTTTTCATTGTCTAGGCTTAATTAACATGTGACTGAATAAAACTCAACTAATTCCCGAGTTGAATAATTAGCGATTTTAATTTAAAACCCTCGGTTTGAAGCTGATTGTTTTAGGCACTGGGTTAAGGTTTATGGGGTGTGATTTTGTCTTAAGCATTAGTTAACACGATATTGGCGTATAAATCGATCTACTAAAATTGTATTTGCTTATCCAAACCAGTTGGGCTCAGAACATATTAAGAGTTCCTAAAGGTTTGTTGATAAGTTTTCCTGTGTGGACAAGAAAAAAAGGCTTGGAACGGGAACCGACCGTAGTTATCGTTTTTAAGCCCAAAGTAGTTTGAAAGAAGTAACCCGTTCCTGGTGTCCTTTTGGTAAAACCAGAGCGCGATTGTCAACGGCGCGGTAGTAGCGGCGGAGCAGAAAATCGAGGAGGCTTTTGGTTGAATCGGGCAATGAACAGCTTTTTCGCTCCGCTGCTATTAACGCGCTGTTTACCATCGCGATTCTCTTTACCGACTGAAAGCTTGGAAAAGGTTAGAAAGAATGAACTGAGAAACCATGCGAGGAGTGCATCAGATAAACGGAAAAATTCATCTTGATTCAATATTCTAAGATGGAGAGGGAAAACTACCTATAATCCGTCTTGAATTGAAGGTGAAGTGAATTCGGAAACAAGCGAGTTAAAACGGGAAATAATTCAAGACTTCGTTAACCTCGGTGCAGTAAGGAGAAGTCATCAACGGCATTTAACGAATGATAAACTTCTCTAAGGGAAACGCATAGTTTAATTATTTATTCTCGCATGTTTGCGAATAAGCTTTCTCCGAGTGATACAGGATCATCGTGGGTGTCTTTGTGGAGTAACTCGACACCAACCTATGTAATGGTATATAGCGTTAATTACGTGTTCATGAAAGAGATTTTCCTCAAATGACAAAAGATAGTAATGACTGCTCATCTCTGTGGAATATATCATGGAACTAAAAACTCGGAACTGTCAAAGGTTAAAAATTCACTCGGCAAAATTTGCAAAAAGGAAAAAATTCGATTTTCCAAACGAATCTTATCATTTGCAAAATAAATTGCGCAGCACATTGCTTCAAGAAGAAATGAAATTCTTCGAAGGAATACATCATAAAGCTATGAGCTTTTGCATATATGTATTCGGTCATATTTCAGTCATCTAAAACAATATTCGTTTCCAAAGATATTTATGTCTAACGATCAAACGGATCAATTGAAAAAAAACATTAATGGTGGTGCGCGGTTCGTAAATACCCACAAAAGTGAGCGGAAGAACCAATACGTCACTGAATCTGCATTACTTCAAGACAAATTTGTAATAACCACGGACAACGAGTAGATCTTCGAAAAAATGGTTCAAAGATACTACACCAAGAAGTGTTTGCTTTGACACCGACAAAAGCAATTTTTAATCGAAACAGAGCTGGCGATAATTAAGAGATGGAAGAGATATAATATTGACAAACCCGAGTCATAAAAAAATAAAATCATCAATTGAAGGACGTTGGGGAAGTCCCAATATAATAGTTGGTAACAGTATTCATGTATGTGCGTCAATGTTAGCATATTAAAAAGTCGAGACGCGCACTTTAGTGTTTTTATTCATTATACCTTAAGAAGTCGCCGCATTTATTCATGTCCTCTCATGATATTACTTAAAAACAGCTGTTTCAGTTATAAAATGCAAGCGACCGCTTGTGTTGTTTTATAAATTTAAAATTTATTTTTTAGTTTATGGTTTAAGGGCATGATACTATTTACTTTAAAAAAATACAATTTAATCTCTAAATGACGCTTAGTTCAGTTTAAAATCCTTTTGGGAGCTAAACACAAACGAAATTTTCAGATCAATATATGACTAAATTACCATACATCAAAAGGACTCACGCCAGGTGCTGATGTGTTTGGAGTATATTATCTGAGCCCCCCCGTATAAATTTACTTGTTTCTTCAGTCGATCGACCACCACACGTATTTTCTCGAACTCTGATCATTTGCCGATTTCTGAATCAGTTTCACGAGTGCGATTCTGACTCAAGTTTACATGTCCAATATTGCGGTCATGGGCAAAACAAGCTATTTAATGATGGCTGTCTTTGTTGGATGTTTGGCCGCAATTGTGTTTATTCAGAAGGAAAGAATAGATTTGAACTGTCTATGGAGTGTTTTGCTCCAAAAAGGTGACCAAGCTCGTAACGAAAAAACTGATCATCTACAGAGAACTGCTTCCTCAGAAAATGCTTGTAAAGGTCAGACAGATTCAAGCTTGCCAGATGTACCATGTGCTATTGATGATTCATCAAGAAATACTAAGGAAGTGAGATCAAAACAAAATAACGGAGAAAGCGAATGTTTCGCGCAAGATGGTGCCACAACCTCAATAAAAGAACAACAAATGGAAAATGGAAATAAACATTGCAAAGGGAAAAAAGCGAACGAAGAACAAAACAACGAGATTTTAACAGGTCATATGAAGAAATTAGGAGAACATGGCTCCATTATAATGCATGGAGAAGTCGAGGAGCTAAATTTTGTACCAAACGGGAAAGATTTTTACGAACATTTTTTACGTAAACGGAGACCTCTGATTATGCGCGGAGCAATAAAGAATTGGCCTGCCGTACAGAACTGGGCGAACGAAAGTTACCTCCGCGAAAAATATGGCGAAGTCGTGTTTGACGTTCAACTTACAAAAAAATACGAGGGAGAATTTCCCGCGAAGAAGACAATGAACCTTAACGAGTTCCTTACGATTTACAAAAGCAAGCAAGTTTATTTAGACTGTCCTTTTCCCCACAGTGATATGATTAAAGACATTTCCGTTCCGTATTGCTTGCAATGCGAAGAAGTGATGCCAACTATTGCTAGCACTCATTTACTTTTTAGCAGTGGAAATACAAGCTCTAGTTGCCATATGGATGGATATGAAAACCTTCTAAGTCTCATCGCTGGAAAGAAGGAAGTCTTAGTGGCTAGTCCGAAGTATGTAGAATATTTCTATCCTCGGAACCACACTACAGTGAACATTGAATCGCCCATTGATCCAGAGGCAGTGAATTTGGAGAAGTTTCCCAAACTGGCCCAAGTACCTTTTCATAAGGTAAGCTGTTTATATCTTCACTCATTTTAATTTTCATGATAATAATGTGCATGACGAAATTACGCGCTTCTGATTGGCTGAAAACGAGTGCCATCTCATGTAACACGAGTGCAAAGTTGTAACACGAGTACAAACTACTCTACCTAAGGACTCGTGCAATTTTGTTGTCCTTTCAAACTTTACACGTGCCTATTAACATCAAATTGCACTGGAAATCATGTTATTACCTTTACGAAAAAAGTTCTACACAAAACGTTTCCACAGCAATAATATTTTTTATTTCCACTTATTTTTTATTTATTATTTTTCTTAATTCGTGTGTTTTCTTTCCTTTGTTCATATTTTGGTTTTCGTCATGGTTTTATGTAAATTGAAGATCTTTAGACGGAATTTTTGGTGTCAAGTTGTCTTTTAATCGTCATTAGGGATGTTAAGTCGAAATGAATGGGGAGCAGATGCCTTGAAAACCTCATCAGTAAAAAGCTTATAACATTAAAAAACACTTAACATTATTCCCCCTCCGATACTAGTTGGGATCCTTACGGTTTTTTTGCACTGAAAATAAAAGGAACAGGTGATCGCAGATATTGATGAAATTCAAGACGAAATGCTAGACACAAAGAAAATAAACCTCTCTTCTTTCTTTTTACTTTTATTGTTAAGTCTGAAACGATTCCAAAATTAATTCAATGCGTTCAACGGAACACATTCCTTGATCTGCTTATACCAGCTTATCACAAATTGCGCGAAAGACCAAAATTATGTAAAACGTCGCGCAATCCAAAATACAAGTAAAAGTCGAACCTTTGTTTTTAAGCGGCAACGTATTAAGCGGTTACCTGTATTAAGCAGTCGGTTGTCAAAGTCGCGTGTTTGTCTCCCCATAATTACTGCAATTTTCACCTCTGTTTAGCAGTCACTAGAAGCCCATTACTTCACCCTAAACTTAGTCCCAACGGTCTGTTTGTATTGTTCTCCACCTGTATAGAACGGTCACTTCAAGCTTAACTATTCAAATAAAATTGAGAAAAGGGTAATTTAATATTATCAACTGAGTTGATAACGTAACTTGGCAACCTGAAAGAGTTTCAAAGCTGACGTTATCTTTCAAGTAAAACTGAATCTTATTTTATCCCCTAAATATGAGTAAGTAGTATTTTTGAGCGAGTTTTTGTAAATTAAGTTGTCAACATTGACAAAAGATGGCGTCTTTCTTTGTGTTTTTTTATAATACTCCTATTCTATGAAACCTGAACAAGCCCGTCAACCTGTATCAAGCGGTCTCCTCGTCATTCCCAGTTGATGACCGCTTAAGGCAGGTTCGACGGTATTATCTAACTATCGCTAATGCTCACCTCGAATAACGACAGTGCTGCTAAACTCGACGTCTTGATTCTCACTGAGACGTTCGGATCGAGTAAAATTCCAGACAGCTATTACATGATACCCGGCTACACATTACACAGAAAAGATCGAATCGGGAAGAAAGGTGGCGGCATATTTGCGTATGTAAATGAGAAAGTTATGGCTTTACGTCGAAGAGATTTGGAACTGGATGATCTTGAAACTCTCTGGCTTCAAATTTGTCCTCATAAATCAAAGAGACCGATTTTGATATCTGGTGTTTACCGTCCACCTTCAGCCAACAAAGATTATAATGAGAGCTTGGGTAAAAATATTGAAAATGCCCATCTCCAAAACAATGAATTGATTATTCTGGGAGACTTTAATTTGGATTATATTGATTTCAACTGTTATTCAAAACATTGTCTCGCAAAGGCACTGAACAGTCTTGGACTAACGCAGATGGTAAATGGGGTAACAAGACCTGCCTCTGATGCGTGCTTAGACCATATTTATTCTAGTCATCCTGCTAGAATTAGAGAAGTATCCATAGGTAAATCTGGACTTTCCGATCACCTTCCGGTCACCATCTTGAGGTGCTACAAAACCATGGATGCACAACGTAAACAACATTCCAAAATCAAATACAGAAATATCGACAAAATCAACAAAGAGTGCTTTCTGCGAGACCTCA